CTGTCTGTCTGTCTGTCTGCATGCATGCATGCATGTATGCATGAAATTGCTTAGGCATGTAGGTAGGTATGTACGTACGGACGTGCGTATGCGTGTATGTGTATATGTGCATATTGTGATTGTTTACGCACACATATGCGCTACAATATACAATATGCATCTGCATGTATTTGAACACACTATACTGCTGCACTATGCGCTCTTGTTGCCTGTCGCGGCAAGAAGTGCAATGGCCAGAACCATGCACCCTATAAACATCATCCTCAACCGTAAATTGGAATCGCGACGCACTGAGAGAGAAGCCACGCACCTTGTTGACTCACATGTTTTCGTAGCACGCTGGAAAAAACCTTGCCCTGAGTACAAATGCAAGAATGCCGTGTTACTGAAGTCGTTGCCTCTGCGGTTGGGGAAGGTTGATCTTGTTGATCCATTTTTCTGCCTTTCTGATATTGATATATGTCGAATGTGATTGAACTTACGCGTTACATTGTTCTTCCGACTTCTGTAGGCTTGCAATTATTCCACGCATTGAACCAACGTCACACGACTGGGGCGCCAGTTGTCTGATTTGCCCCTCCAACACATACACAAGATGCTCCGGGGGGATCTGGAGACCTCCAGCCGTGATAAGAGGGGACGTTTTTGGGGTGGTTTCAATTTGAAAACCGAAAGGGAAACCACCAACTTGGGATCCTCAAATCTCGGAAACAAATGCGTCCCTAAACCCAAAAAGAAAGAACAAATTTGACAGGGGTCGATCATCTTGCTCAATCCAGTCAGCCCGAGATTTTTGTTCGGCTTCGCCTCCGAGGGAAGGGGGGAGAGCGCCCGCGTGAACTGGGGGATCTTGTCTTTGGGCTCCACATGGACCGTGGTAGGCACCGTGGCGCCGGAGTCCTGGTGGCACCGGCCGTGTCGTAACAGAAACAAACCGCCTGAAGAGTGGCTCCGGTCACTAGGGTTGGGGTCAGGGTTGTGGTTCTTAGGGGTATTAGGGGCACTGGGGTTAGTAGGGCCATTAGGGCTGAGATCGTTGAGGCTGCTGGGTTTGTTGGGCTCGACCCACTGGAACTTTCGAGGGCACGAGGCTGGTGCTATATCTGTGCCAGGAATTGTTTGTGAACCCAACTCCGCTTTCGGGAAAAAGGCAAATGTCAGATTGAAAGGCAATCAGAATATGCGCAGTTGGGAAAATTGAATAAAACAGCACATTGATCAAGGCCCAACTCTTCCAAGGTTGTGGGTATAAGTTCAAGTTTTGGCATATGAACCTGATTCTCTCTGGCAAAAGCCAAACCTTCATCAACATGTATGCATCTGTGTACGTAATAGGATAAGTACGCACATAGCGTGAAAGCGTTGCATGCCTTCTGCTTCCGGGTTCGTTTGATCCACATTGAAATATGGTCTCAAAAGTCCTTGTGGCAGCGCCCTTGGCTTTTTGAAACCAAGGGTTGGTCAAGCTGGGATCGATACATATTCTCTTCAAGGAGAGCCCGTTCTTTCCATGCGCCATGAAATCTGCGGCTTGGACCCTGCCAGGTGTTTGCATCCACGCTGAAAAGTAACCTGTTGATGGGATATCTCGGTTCCCGGGTTCACTCCAAAAGTCGGAACGTGGCAGTTCTCAGACATGGCATCTTGATCACTGGTGCCGTTCGAGAAGTACCAGTGCAACAAATCAAAAGTGGGCTGCTGTGGGAATCTGGAGATCACACACACGAACCAAAGTGGGCAATCCCCCCACCTTGGATTGACATTTCAGTGTGGAATTGGAGCTGTGCACGCTGGAAATCTCTTGGCAGTAGCACAAAACCAACAATTCTCCACACACACACACATATATATATATATAGATATGGGTTTGTAGTTTGATTCGCGGGTATGATTCGGGGTGTGATTCGGGGGTACGATTCGCTGAAGCAGCAGCAGCAGCAGGAGTAGTAGCAGTAGTAGTAGTAGTAGCACTAGGAGTAGGAGGAGGAGTACCAGTAGCAGTAGCAGTAGCAGTTTTAGTAGCAGTAGTCGTCGTATTAGTAGCAGTAGTGTTGTAAAGGAGTCGTAGTAGTATAGTGGTGGTAGTCGTACTAGTAGAGGAGTAGCAGTATTGGTAGTAGTAATGAGAAGGAGTACAGGAGCAGTAGCAGTAGTGGTAGTGGTGGGAATAGTAGTAGTAGTAGTAGTCGTAGTAGTAGTAGTAGTAGTAGTAGTCGTAGTAGTAGTAGTAGCAGCAGTAGTAGCAGTACAAGCCGTGGCTGTAGTGGTGGGCGGAAGCTTTGCAAAGACTTGGCCCTGGCCTTGGCAAGGGAAGAGCACTGTGCGGATTCGCGGGTATGATTCGGCTAGTTGCAAAACGGCACTGATTACACACTCAGAATGCATGTAGCAGTAGTGCTGGTACTAGTTGTAGTAGCAGTAGTAATGGTAGTAGTAGTAGTAGTAGTACTAGTAGTAGTAGGTAGCAGTTGCAGTAGTAATTAGTGGTAGCAGCTGTAGCCGAAGCAGCAGCGGCTGTAGTGGTGCGCAAGCTTTGTAAAAGACTTGGCACTAGCCTTGGCAAGGGAAGCTCATTGTCCGGGTATGATTCGTGGGTATGATTTGGCTAGTTGAAAAACGAAACTCAGTAAACATTCAGAATGATGAATGTAGTAGTAGTGGCGGTTGCAATCGCAGTAGTGGTAGTTGTAGCAGTAGTAAAGGTAGTAAAGGTAGTAGCCGTAGTAGTAGTAGTAGTAGTAGTAGTAGTAGTAGTAGTAGTAGTAGTAGTAGTAGTAGTAGTAGTAGTAGTAGGAAGGGTAGCAGCAGAAGCAGAAGTAGAAGCAGTAATAGTAGCAGCGGTAGTAGCGGTGGTGGTGGCAGTGGTAGTAGTAGTCGTAGTAGCGGTAGTAGCAGTGGTAGTAGTAGTGGTAGTAGTAGTGGTAGTAGTAGTAGTAGTAGTAGCAGTGGTGTTAGTAGTAGGTAGCGCTGGTGGTGGTTGTTGCGGAGGCAGTAAACAACACAAACGGTAGAAACAAAAAGTGCATTTTACGTTTTAAGGGGTATGATTCGGGGGTATGATTCGGGGAGGTCCCACCTTCTGCCTTTTGAAGCAGCTCAACACAACACAAAAAGACAACCCCATACATATAAACACATATGTAAAAGCATTCTATGCCTGCCTGTACGGTTTTCTGAATGGACCCCTGGTAAATTTTAGGCATATGGCTTCCAGGCAACTTTCCAGGGAACTTTCTGACTAGCCCTCACGTCACAAACTCACCACTGGTGGCCTCCCACGCCCGCCTCCGCATACTTCTTGCTGGCGCCGCTGCCCATGAGCTCAAAGAAAGGAGATCCCGGCCCAAGCAAAGGCCAAACGGATGGGGGTCTCTGTTTCCGGTTGTGCCAAATTGGAGGTACAGGTGTACAAGTCTGGAACCAGAGGCAAAGGATGGGCCCGAACCTCTTTTTGGTTGGAGCTTGAATGGAATCCAAATGGAAAACCGTTGCCTATGTTGACACATACCCATGCCTAACCATGGTCTGATCATACTCGTGTTGCGATACACAGTCAAAAAAGCAACGCAACGTGGCAACTTCATCTGCGAATGCTATGATGATTGCCGAACTGAAAATTACGGCATCCCCGTACTTGGGAGCTTGACACTTGGGATGCCTGGACCTTTATGCAGCCTGGGATTCGAGCCAAGCAGGCACGCTCTTTCCAGTCCCCTATATGCACGGCTGACGAAGTGCGAGCCCTAGGTGTCTTTTGAAACAACTATGTTGCAAATGGCAGTGGTGAATGATTAGAAACAAACTAAAAGCATCGCCATCAATGTAGCTAAACCGACCCAAAAGGACATATAGTGCGAGGGCGAAACACGGCAGACATGGATAACAGTCTCGCTTTCGCTGATTCACTTTTGCACGGCGCTATTTGAAGCAATCTGCATATCCCATTTAGGGCTGTGAGGTATGCAGGCTATCGACTCTCTGGCTGCATGCCTGAAGGCATGCCTGATTGCAGCGCGATGAAAGGTTGAGCGTAACACCCACAGCATCTGTCATCCTTAGTTGTTTGTGAGGATAAATTGTTTTTGTCTGCTTGGCATTAATTGTCTCTTTGAGGATACCATGCTTTGAATGGCTCGAAAGAGAAACCGAACAGACACCTACCTTGCGGTTCCCTAAGACAAACCCACATGCCACCTGTATGCAAACCTAACAGCCATCATGGGTGAGCTTGTTCTACCAGCCATGTTAGCTGAAAAGGTGAGGTTGAACCATGGGTGAGTCTCACACCCCAAGAAACACAAAACACATATCCGTCCTCATACATCGCTCTGCACTGACGGAGCGGCAATTCCGCTCCTGATCGACTGTCCGGGTTCATGAGCAAAGCTTTGACTTGCAAGAGGCAAGGCGGTCATGATTCCAGCACGCTTGCATAATATATTTCAAAGCTGTTGGAATGTGAACACGGTCCACCCCCCTTGTTGCACCCCTCATTGAAAGCAGCACAGCGTACATAGGGCCCAAAAATGACCCACCCACAACCTACATGGCCATGGTGAAAAACCAATGGTACCATTTTGGGATAGGTGCACCACCCATTTTAGTCTATTTTACTGAACATTAAAATGTTCACTGGGGGTATGGGGTTTTGACTCATGGCCACATGACACGAGTGCTTCATCGTGTCTTCTCCTGCGGAAGTAAACCCTTATGGGCATGAAATTGTGACTACCCATATGCCCCATGCAAGTCCAACGCCTCATGACAAGTTGACGGCTTGGTAAGCCGTAAGCCACACTTCGCCGTCTGGAAGATGATGCTTGGCCAAACAAAAGGGTGTCCCATGAACAGTTCTTTTCTTGCCCCCCCCGAAAAAGAAAAAACATGGCAAGAAGTGCATTGCACAAACAGACCATAAACAGACCATACACCCCCAACAAAACTGTTCAGCAACTTCGTGGTCACAGCGAGTTCGCACCTCGGCCTCTGGTGAGCCTCCCTCAGGCACTCACTGTCCACACCTCGCTCTCAAGGCTTTGGGCCCAATGTGTGAAGAGTACGTGGGCCCCAGGCGCCCCAACTAAATGAACTAAATACCCACCCACTGAACAAAAACAACACGCGCCAGTCGGCAGTTTCAATAGGAATGTCTCGACCTTTCACGTGCATCTCAATCCCAAATGGCTTCCTTGCTCGACTCGCTTCAAGCACCAAGGAACAGTTCGGCGGAATACGCTGGGAAGGAAGCAGAAGCTGAACCTACAGACTGAGGGCAAATCTCCGCAGGAACTGCCCCTTCTAGGGGTAGCTTCCAACCATTCTTTCAAAGGGGATGCTTCTTTTCAGGAAACCATGAAAAACCCAGAGGAAACCGGGAAACCGCCGGTTTTTGAGAAGAACGATGGTTGAAAAGAATGGTTGGAATCAACCCCTAGACTCATTCATCTCTTCCTGGCTATGTTGGCCAAGGCGCGATGGTGGCCTCAAGCAGCTGGATCGGCCACAGGAAGAAGTTCAGGAACCAGGGCAACTGAAACCTCCGCGCAGGTGGGTTCTCATTTTTGCTCGAACCCGCCACGGGGGCCCCTTACTGAACATGAGACATACCGAGGTATATTGAAGGGAACACGTCGGATTTTCAGTTTGAAGGGACTGTGCGTTAGTGAAATAAAGGGATTGGGATTAGAGGTATATCTTAGGAATTACTATGACATGAAAGAAATAGAAAATTAGCTAAAAGAAAAGAGATGTAGAAAGCCAATCAAAAAGCTATCAAAATATACAATCCTTTCCATTCCTTGCTCCGCCAGGCATTTATCTCTCTTGGTCTTTCATTTTCCCATCTTGGATGGTGATAGAGTGTGAGAAGGGACCGAAGGGAGCGGATTAGAGGCTTTTCAATATCTTTTCCTCGCATCTGGATCCTGAGATTTGATGTAGTGAGAAGTCTCTTTCCTTGGTGTTTAATAGGATCCAGAATGGTGTGTGTACGTGATATGAATGAACGAGAGTGAGGGCTTGGCATCATATCATCAAACACACAGGAAAGCACTCAAGCATCATTCATAATATAATTCTATTTGATAGCTGACTTTAGGATATTTCGCTTTTATTACGGTTAGAAGAGATCCATCATTATCCTATCTTATATTTATTGGTCTTTTATTACTTTTATTCTCGTTCTTCAATAATAGATTTATCATAGGAACGTGATGGCTGTAACAACTTAAGGAAATGATAAGTGGATTTTGATGGAGAACAAAGATCAGCTATTATCCCATTCTTTTATTTTGGAGGTGTAAGTGAATTCCTGTTTACCTTCTATTCCTATCATTTGTATCTTCTTTTCACACATTATCTTCATCTTGGTTTTCAATAATATATTTGTATTCTCTTGGTTTATTGCTGACCCTAGAATTCTTTAAGTGATTTTAGCTAATATTGAAGAGCCTCCGCTATTCACGGGAATTAGATGGAGTTCTTCTTTTCTGGATTATTGCCTACCCTCACCAACCGTTCGGTGATTCATAGGGTTGGGGATGAAGGAAGAAGACTCCGTGTACTCAAGCCTTCCTACACCTACAATTGGGACCGAGAAGCGAGGGCTGATCCAATGTCATGCATTCCCACCATTCAAGTCCTTTTCCTTCCTGTATCCTCTCGTCTCCAGATGAGGTAGGATGTAGGAGTGAACGAAGAGAAAGGACGTGAGTGGCATCTTCCTTACCTTTCCTTTTCTTATCTCTTTACTATTAATATCTTGTCTTTTTGTTTACATCTTACCATGAAAGGAATTGGATCGACGTGAAGCGAGAGGAAATGGAGAGAATGGATTGGCCAAGTGATGGCCTCAGAGTCATTCCTTTCTTCTTTGTTGTCCAAAATGAATTTTGAGAAGATAATAAGATGATAGGAAAGTGATATCTCTTCTTCTAACCCTATCTCAGCCTCTGGGCAGCGAGTACAAGGGTTAGATAATGATGGAATTCCTTAGGCGAGAGCCATCTCTTTGCAGCACTAATAACTTCCCCAATCCACCTTCGTGCCTCAGAGATAGGGTTGAGAGAGGCTTGAAGGGAATGGGGTGAAGGTATGAATGAAAAATCCTTAAGTGTGTGCCAACAGCCGAGAGAAGAGGCTGGGCTAGAGTCATGTCCTTTCACTTCGTTCATCTCCTTCACAGTGGCAGGGCATGGGTTCATGAATTACACAGCACCTGGAAAGCCTTGGCATCTGGAAGGACTTTCTCTCTCCATTTCACCCTTTTACTTTCTTTTCTCTTTCTCTTGTCAATGAAGGGTGAAATGATAGGAAGGAGAGAGGAATCGAGCGAGCTGACATCTCCCGTCATCTGTCTCTCAATCTCATCTCACGGCTGTCGATGGAAGAGGAGACAGAGAAGTGAGTGAGTGATAGACAGGGAAGGCCTTTATCCTCGTCTTTTATTTCAGCTCTGGGCGCTTTGCTTGCAGCCGCTCGAGCTGTAGAAACACAAGGAACTGCGTTATTCCCAGTGGATCCCAGTTAGGCAACCCTTCCCTTGGTTCCTATACAGGTAAATGGATCAGGGATTATTCTCATCTCCAAATTCGAACTAAGGGATTCCAACTAAAAGAGGATAGGCTTGTCATACCTTAAGAGAAGTTGCCATTGGGGGGGCAAATGAGACTTGACTGAGCGCAAATGGCCAGAGGATAGGCACTGCGTTTGCACTATCCAGTGCGACTCCTCCATTGTCATGAGTTCAGACTATCATCAGACTAGCCGCGCAATCTTAAAAAATGTTAAACGGGTATGTTGGGTGGAGACATGATATTTCAGGCCGGGATTCACGTGGAAACAAAGTTTCAGCTGGTTGTATTTCTGTTCTTTTTTCATGGGCAAAGAAAACAAAATCGACCCGCTCGCTGAGGACAAGGCCCACAAGCCAGCTGGGTGAGGAAGCCAAGGGCGGCGATGGACCAGCCGATGGCCTACGAAAAGATGCTGAGCCGCTTCAGCCGACGTTTAAATGGTGGCTTGGATTGGCGGTTGGGTGGTTTAGGGCTGGTGTCCCATTCTACAAAAGCCACCAATCCAAACCACTGAATAGGGGCTAGCTGACTGAGAGTGCAAGGGAACGCATCCAAAGACAGCTGATGGGTCCCACCAGAAAGTGCAACCTGATTGGATACTTCCACTCGCGAGGCTGGAGGCTGACCTGGCACGCCCGGGGCCCACGGTGTCACCTGGCCTCATCGATGTAGGTGTCCTTGTGCTCCACTTCTAGGTAGCCCTTCTCGTGGAGGAAATCCACCTGGCTGAGCAACAGGCCGAATTCCGGACCAGATCGGCAACGCAAAGACATCACACGTGCAGACTGCCGCACTCTGCAATCGTGTCCTCAGCTTGGCCCAAAGCTGGGTCGAGATTTCAGGCAGGAACACACATGTTCGCTACATACGCAACTCACAGGAAACGTATAGATGGACACCTGTATCATGTTAAATTCTAAAGGTTGAGCTCAAATGCTCACTTGCTGCGTCCGTCAATATTTCGTGTCTCATAGACATCCTCCAGGCTTGCCTAATCTCTGAAACAAACGAAGGGAATGCTGACCGATTCAGGCCCCAGTTAGCCACCTCAGAAAAAAAAACTGTAGAATCAGGACCAGTTGCAGCACACAAAGCGCAGCAGTCAAAAGCGCCTGTTTCCATGGAGCGTGCCAAATCGGCTAGAAGGCCTATGAGTCAAAGAGCCACCATATGGCAGCGGGATTCCACAAGTGCATGCATCGCCACCAAGAGCGTGAATCTTCAGCGCCCCCAAATTATGTTGGTGACGAGCGATGCATCACCAGGACCGCAGGTCAGGTTCCGCGTGGAACAGGGTGATCAAAACTGGAACCGTGCAGCCAATCATCGCATGCTGATTTGGCTGATCCGCCAACTTTACACAGGCTTCCAGCCTTCGCCATTCGCCTTGGCCTGTGCTGTGCTCGAAACGGCCGAAACTACTTCGAAAAGGGAACTGTGCCACACTAAACCGAGGTTCGGGCGTCCGAAAACTCTTAGCCTGTACAGCCACCTGAATTCCCACTCGTGCCTGGAAGTGCCAGCCACGCTTGTCGCTGAGCCCGATCAGGTGTGGTAGCAGTTCATCTCCTCCCGAAACAGCCTCTCCAGGAAGTTCAGCGCCTGCTGCAAGCTTCACCGGTTTGGCCTTGACCACCTTCGACACCTGCTTGACGAAGTCTGGGCAGTACTTCACTGACCATTCGCCTGACGCCATGATTCTTCGCATGTGGGTCAAGTCCATCAGCTTGGTGCCGCCATCCGCCCACATGTTCTCTGTTGAAGTCCACTTCAGACTAGTGCCAGGCTGCTTCAGCTGCGAGCGAAGCCAAGCCACTGTGAAAGCCAGGGACTTCTGAGAGCCGTAGCTTGGAGTGTCGCTGTTGCCCTTGTCGTGCACGTCCTTGGCATCCACCACCACGCACATTTCCAGCGCTTGCTGTCCAGACATGTTCCAGCCATTGACGGTCGCCAGAAAACCGCGACACAACTGTCCAACATCAAACGCCTCCTCCGTGCCCAAGAGCTCCGCCGCGTAGCTTGAGCGACAAACACGGGGAATGCGGTGTGACCGTGCATCTAAGACGTTGAACTTCCCCCTCCTGCCTGAGAGCAACTCCTTGTCCGCGAGGAGGACAAAGTAGCAGGCCTGAGAGTAGACCTTCTCCAAAGGGCTGCCCTCATCGCTGCCGTTGAGCTTCACATTGCCCAGCGCCGAGTCCGTCACTACCATGATGCCACATTCCTTCAGGTCCAGGGGCCGGAAGATCAACTCAAAGTGCACATCTCGCTGGAATTCAGCCACCGCCTGGTTAGCCTTGATCAAGGTGCGCACAGTCGCCTTCTCGCTCTGCAGCGAGGACACCACGAAGCCCATGTCGAACCTCAGCTGAGCAACAAGCCACTGCATTGACCCAACCACTGCACGCAGCTGCTTCTGTTCGCCGGCCGTCAGCAGCGCGTCCAGATCAGATTTGCGATGCTTTGGGATGAGCACAGGTTGCAAGTTCTGGTGGTACTCGCTCATCGAGATGCGCACGGTGTTGTCAGACGCCCGTCTGATCCTCTTCCCGCACCAGACGAAGTCACTGCGCTCAACGGATCCGAATCCAAGTTCGCTACCCACCTTGTGAAGACTGTGTTCTGCTTTAGAGCATCTGCAGAACAAAAGGTCATCGACGTGAGCAACGATGATGCCTTCGAGCTCGTTGTTGGCTGACCACTTCAGCCAGGTCGCTCCGTCGATGAGGGTGCGGACCCACCCATTCTCGCGAAGCGTTCTATCCAAACGCATCCACCATTCCCGAGGAGCGTCTGCAAGCCCGAAGAGGACACGAGCCAGCTGGCCTGGCTTGAGCGGTATGGATGGCCCCTTGGAGTCATCGGTGCCCATCAGGTACAGCTCACGGGCCAGGTATGGGTCGCCCTTCAAGAAAGCGGCTTTGACGTCAGCTGACATCAAGGCCCATTCCGGCCGGCTGGCCGTGATGTTGAAGAGCAAGTGCTGTGCTATCCTGCTCCCTGTAGGCGCGTCCTTCCGCAGAGCACCTTCCAAATTTGCTCTATCGCGGAAACCGGGCGCCACCAAACGCGAGCTTGGCAGTACTGGTAGGGGCCGAGCCGAAGTCCTGACCCCATCATTTTTGTCGGTCATCACAAACCTGGGCCTTAATATTTTGTCCTGCTCGTTAGCCCTCATCAGCTTCTCTTGCACTTTCCGAGATTCCTCCATGGAGAGGATCTCCACCGCAGCATTGTCCACATAGGCTTTCCAGCCTTTCACCGCCGCCTCTCTGAACTGGTTCTTGAGGTCCGCATTCATCTCGGACCACTTGTACTCTTTGCGAGCCGCTTGCACCACATCTACATGATGTGCGTTGCCGGGAGGTAGCTGCAATCCCAACTCTCGCATCAAGTTCCATTCAGACTGACAAAGCTGGGACCATCTGCCGTCCCAAGTGCCGTGGTCATTCTCCATGCGCTCCACCGGATTTCTCCGGTCAAGCTCAGCCATGGCTTGCACCTTCAAAAGTGGATGCCTGTTCTCACACGCCTCCACCATATTGCGCACCTCGTCGTTCGTCAGTCGGATGGCCGAGAAGGCTTCGTGGCCCTCCTCAGGCGAGATTGCCATTCCAGTTGCCGGTGGCTCCGGCGGTTTGGATGCCTGCGAGCTTCTTTCAAGAAGATCTCCCGGTCGCTTCACTCCACGACCTGGATCTTCGACCTCGATGGTCTGACCTTGACCAGCAAGTTCTTGTAGCCGGGGTCGACGTTGAAATAGTCCAGCTATCGGAGTGCCAGGCATTGTTCCACCGCTCAACGGGCCACTCTGCAAACTTCTCTCCGATGGAGACAGCCAGGATGACCTGGGGGTCACCGCGGACGACACTGCAGGCTGCAGAGCCGCCACGATCTCGGCTGGCGCCACACCGCCGAGCTCAACCAATGGCTGTTGAGGTATTGCACGACTTGGTTGTGTATGAGGTGGTTCAAGGTCGTCGTCCAACTCCGCTAACTCATCCAAGGGTTGCGCTTCACCTCCAGGACCTACAGCAGGTAGAGCCAATTCTGCATCTTGAGCAGCTGCGTCAATCACCTCCTTGATGGCCTCCTCCCAGGATTCCGCGGCAATCTGCTCCAACGAAGACGCCGCCCTTACATGTTCAGCAGGACATTTCGTCAACTGACCCTTGAAGGAGACGAAGATGTTGGCTCCATCACGTCCATCACGCTGCTGCTCCATTGCCACCATGAGTCCTGGGCCATGCCATCGCCGAAGATCAAGTCGGCGACGAGAGCCACTCTTCTTCCCGGCATATACTTCAGAAATAAACCAGATCTCCAGGCTGCGGCAGGTTCTCCACCGTGGTTGTGCGAGCTCGAGCAAGCTCAGCGCGTCGAAGGCCACGACTAAAATGAAGTCTCACCATTGCCAGACGAGCTGTCTCGCGGATGGCCACCTGGCGCGCTAGGGTGGGCTTGCTCTCGATCAAGGAATGTTCTGCAAGTCGAGAGGCAAATCCTCCAAGCACGTCGCCCTGCATGACGGGCTGTCGGCCCGTGACTGCCTGAACAGGCGACACGCCCTCTTCGTTCACATCAGAGTTGTAGGAGGCTACAGCTTCACCCAAGGCCAAGCTCAGCTCGCTGCGACCTGCAATGGTGTGAGCCTTCACCACCGCACCCACAAGCGCCTTCAGCGTTCCTCCAGAACGTTCAGCAACACCATTCTGCCAAGGAGCACCAACACCGATGTGGTAGAGGTAGATGGAGCGGGAGTTGCAGAACTGCTCAAACTCCCACGAGACAAATTCACGTCCTTGGTCTGCAACTAATGTCCTTGGCGGGCCCATCAACGGTATCCATTGGGTCTGCAAAAACTCCACCACCGCTTGGGTCGCCTTCGACTCCAGCACTGCCGCCATCTGGAAGCAAGACACCGAGTCCGTGATGTGGCACACCACAAACGTCTGCTGGAAAGCGTCCTCAATGATCACGAGGTCGATGTGAGCTTGTTCACCGACCTGCCTGGGAACCGGCAGCGATGCCGGTCTGCGAGCCTTTGGAGGTTGCCGTTCACGACAAACTGAGCACTGCAGCTTCTTGGCTGCGAGGACAGCTTCACGAGGAGCTCCACAAACAAGTAGGGCTCGAGCGAGTCGTCGACCACTTCGTAAAGGACATAAAGCTGGCTCTAGCCTCACCTTGGACACGGGGTGGGACTTCCTGAAGAAAGCGGACCGCGACCTGGCCATCCAGCTGATTAAGGAGAATAAGCCCTACGCGGTGATCTTGGCGTTTCCCTGCAGTGTTTGGACGCCACTTCTTCGACTGAATCGTCCTCCTGAACTGCACCTACGACGTCGCAGAGCTCGCCAGTTGGTGAAGTTTGCCTGGGACATTGCCTTGCAGCAGTTGGAGTCCGGTTTGCACTTTGTCATGGAAAACCCGATGCAGTCAGAAGCTTGGCGACTTCCTGAACTACGAGCGCTACGGCAAGATCCCCGAGTTCGGGCGGTGGATCAATGCGAGTTTGGATTACGACCTCAGGATGGATCCGACCGCTACCACAAGAAGCCAACCCGACTGCTTACTAGCAGTCAGGCCTTGGTCTCGGAGATGACGGGGCGGCGATGTAAAGGTCTACATGAGCATGCTCCTTGCATGGGTGGAGTTCGCATCACCGAGCCGGCAGGACACTACCCCAAGGCCTTTGCGTCGGCCATGGTCAAGTCCCTGGAGAACCAGTTCGATTTTGAGACCAAGCAGCTCGTCGCGGGCCTGGAAGACGACGGCTTTGTTAACGAGACGCTTGCGGCGGAGGCCAAGGACAGTGACGTCGACGCGCCGGAGTCCGACTCCGAGGATGAGTTGATTGCCGACCAGGACACTGTCGACGGCAAGAAGGCGGTCATCTCGGCGGCGGTGAAGAACGCGGTGTACCGACTACACGAGAGGGCCACCGGCTCGGTCGAGGTGAACACTTCCGTCACAAAGGGGCTGGGCAGGTCCAATTCCATGACGAAGGTCTCGCTGGCATAGTCCTCCATCTCCTGTAACCACTGCTTGTCCAGCACCTTCCGAATCGTTCCACTTGATGCCGATATAGCCCGTTGATCTCGCCGGTGTCGATCCCAAGCCTGAGACACCATCTGCTTGATCCCTGCCTTCACCTTCTTCAGCTTGTAGGGTTCCTCTGCTCGGGCATCGTCTGGTCCGCGCTGCTCATCATGTCCCAAGACTCCGTTGGGACGCCGTTCGAGGACAAGGTCATGCCCATGACGTTCACCGGGTTGTTCTGCATGTGCATGATGTGCTGGTAGACCTGCCCGAACATCTGCTGGAACCTGCCTTCTTGGTGCTCCAACATGTGCATGATCTTCATTTCGAGCTCCGCCATCTGGGGCACGGTCTCGTTCGCCGGAGCGGTCATGGTCTGCTCGGAAGACTTCGTGGACGCCGGCGTTGGAGTAGCCAAGGTTGCCGTAGAGCTCGATCCTCTCCGCTGTTGATCCTTGTAGGCACTCATCACGGTGGCCAAAGGTCCTCTGATCTTGCCCTTGATGATGTCCACGGTGTCTCCAGTGCCCACCTCCACATGTAGGAGCGTTGCAAGGCGCACCAAATCTGCTTTCAGGCTTGGCAAGCCGCCTCGAGGACCAACCATCTGGCGAACCATCTCGTGTTGCCCCTTGTGAGCGAGGTCCTGCTTGGCTTTCTCCTGGGTCTCGAGCATGGCCTGACGCTTGATCTGACTTGCCTGGCCACGCATGCTTCTCGCTGCCAAGATTCCGGACAGCGTCACATCCTCCAGGAAAGCCATCCGCAAACCAATTCGGTCCCGAAAGTGAGCAGCTTCTCGAAGAGTCACCGCTGTGAAGCGCTCCACGCCTCGTTTCAAATGCTTCCGGGGCCAAGAATGGCTCTCGGTCATAGATTCGGCTTGCAGCTTCCATTGCTGCACTGACCCCACCGAGGGATACGGAAAGGGCACATAGCGCAAGTAGGGCCTTTGCACGACCCAGAGCAGAACGCCTTTGATGTGCCAGAGGAACCTTGCCTCCAACCGCAACAGGAACCGCCTCCATCGGTCCACCACGTGGCTTCCGCATTCCATGTCGCAAGGGCGCAGCAGTTGAGTAGGCTGATGGGCAAACTGTACTGCTTTGAGGATCACATGCCACCACGGTGCAAGGATCATGCTGTGCTAAAACTAGCTGGGCCACCATCACACTGTGTTCTGTCAGCAGGTGTTCGTATCGATGCGGAATGGGGAGGTGTCGAGTGATGCGGGCTGCCAACCATGCTGAACAACCAACCTGCACTGTAAGAACTCCGTCCAAGCCCAGGGAACGCCACCTCGCTGACTTAGGTGAGGGCCAGTTGTCGGGGATCATCTTAACCATGAAGTGACCAGCCAGCATTTGTCCCAAAGCCAACAGTTCGGGGCCAAGTAGACGGCATTGGAGTGTCTTCTGGGGAAAGTCCATCACTGCACCCAGGGCATCCAAAACATCACGTCCAAGTAGGCAACCAAGTGAATCTACTGGTACTTCAGAAACCCAAATCAACACCAGATGACCGTTGATCACCGCGGGGAGCCTCCACCTTGTTGAGCTAGTTTGCACACCGCCATTCCCGAAACGGAACTTCTCAGTTTCAACCTGCGAAGTCAGCAAATCTCGTACATCAGGGGGTGCAGTTTGCAAAGCAGTGAAATACGCCTTCAACCACACAGGTCCTGCGCAAGTGCGATTGCAGGCTGAATCCAACGCCCCCACCAGGTGCTTGTCGCCAGACAGTGAAAGCGCTGGTGCACGTTTTCCGCTCGAGGCAGCGAGTGCTTGCTCCAGGGTCAGCACCTCCAGGGCTGCAACCTCATGTACAGCGCCGGCTTCCGCCGCACTCACATCATTCTCATCACGCTCTACGATCTTCACGTGGCGAGCCGGTCGGCTCTTGGGCGCAGCTGCTCTTCGGCCCAAACCCGCGCCAGGTGAAGGACATTCAGCGTCACCAGCCCAGTGACCAGTCTTGCCACAGTCAAAGCAAGGATGCTTCCCCGACGCCTTGCGGCTGGCTGCCGCCCCAGGGACAAACTTCTTGGCCCCAGCGTCGCCAGAAGCCTTGCCGTACCCGCGGTCCTTGCGAACCTCCGCAAGCTTTGTCCGGGCCTCCTTCATAGTGACCAAGGCCTCAGCAGCATTCTCCAGGTTGGACTCCAAGCTCTCCAAAAACTCGGGATCAACGCCCTCGTCCTCGGCCTGCTCCAGCTCCGTGGCAAGAATCTCCGCCTCAGCCACCAGCGCCTCCTCAAACGTGGCGTGCTCAGCCACCTCCGCTTCCGGTTCATCCTCGTGAGCCTCCACCTCAGGCTCGTCAGGAACCTCCGTGAAGTTCACTTGGCGGGCAGCCGGGAACCGTCGAGGACCAAGGTTGGGCCTGGAAGAAGCCATGCTTGAAGCCGTCCTAGTTGATGCTGCAGATGACCATGCACTTGAAGGGGCTGTTGATGCGTTGGAAGGACCACCAAACATGCGCCTGACCGTGAGCTTGGGGCGATCAAACCTGCGGTGCATGGGGTCCGAAACATGCAAGTCCTTGAACAGCCTGAGCGTCTCAGCCTCGATCACATCGTAGGCCTCTCGGCCCTGCAAGGCCGTCTCCAACAACTGCTTTCTCAGCCCGTCAAGGCCTAGCTTCTCCTTCAAGAACCACCCAAGTTCACCTTCAGGAAGAGCAACTCCTTCAGCTCGAAGATCTGCCACCAAGGACCTGAACCTCGCGCAGAACTCAGAGACGCGTTCTCCAGCACGACGGTGCAGCTCCAAGTAGAACTCAGTCCTGAGCTCACCACGCTTGTCCAAAGTAGTCTGGCCATTGATGCTCTCCAGGGCCTTGAGCAACTTGTTCAAACCTGCCAGGTAATCGGGCTCGGAGATCTGGTAGGTCTCGCCAGTATCAGGGTCGTCAAGCGTCTCCGCCGGCTTGTAGGCGAGCTCCTCCGGGCTAAACTCTTCACCTCGCTGTCGGACTATGCCTGTTTGGCGAAGAAGCCAGCGAGCCGCCAGGTTGTAGCGCTTCGTCGACTCCAAATCCAGGCTAGACAGCCACCAAGACATCTCTCTCCTGAAGGATCGCCATGTCAGCGGAGATCCGTCCCACGTTGGGGCTTTCCCCCATGCTCCTCCACCGCCACGCTCTTCGTCGGCCATGGTGGCCACAAGCCGCAAAAAAACTAAGGTGCCCAGGGCGGGCAAGGGCGGCGGTACCTTAGGTAGACGCCGACGCACAGTACAAAGAGGGACACCTCGCTGAAGCTGACCAGCAAACTGGTAAGTCAAGGAGGCGTCGAGGGTGATACCCAGCAGCCAGGTGCCAGAAGCCGAACTTGCCGCCTGGCTCGTTCAGCACCAGCTCCCAGTTGCCGGCGCAGGTGACGCCACCGAAGAGCGCGTGCTCGCGGTAGCAACCTGCAGGGTGCGGAGTGTCACAGGATGCGCGTGCAAATGCCAGGGTCGCGTAACTCAGGCTCCGGTGCCACTGTAGAATCAGGACCAGTTGCAGCACACAAAGCGCAGCAGTCAAAAGCGCCTGTTTCCATGGAGCGTGCCAAATCGGCTAGAAGGCCTATGAGTCAAAGAGCCACCATATGGCAGCGGGATTCCACAAGTGCATGCATCGCCACCAAGAGCGTGAATCTTCAAAAGGAGTGGAACCCATGCTTGGAGTCGACACCACTGTGGGAAGCCTCCGAATAGGCAGGGAATGAGTTGGAATGATCCCAGGTGAATGGCACACCGCCAGTCACTTCGCAAAAGAGGCTATGAGACCCGGGTACAAATTGGAAACTAACCGCTGAGCAACAAAGAGATTTAGGATTGGGGTGTCACAAGTCTTGGGGGCATCTGCATCACTGGAAGAAACACCTGTCTAATCCAGAAGCTTGAGCACTCCAGGGTCATGTCAAGTTCCCCGAAGGCCCGGTGGATTGATTCGAGTGTTCGCTCATCGCGAATCCGCATCAAACATCAACTTCCATTTTCTTAAGCCCCCTGGAAAAAAAGGAACATATTTCCAGTAGTGATAGTTTCCCTTTGACACCAACAAGGAAAGATACAAAAATATTATTAAGCAAATGGATGTCACAAAAACAAGCCCTCGGCGCCAAGTACTCCGCGAAGATCATGCCGCCGCGGATGGCGGAATGCACAGCAGAGATGATGCGCTGAATCCACCTGAGCGCCCAAAACCGAATGCGAGTCTATGGAAGCTCCTAGGCTTGCGTGACCTCAGGCGATACGGAAGCTGCCAAAAACAAAACACTACTCATAATGTAGGACTCACTGTTCATCAGCCGTAACTGACCCTTCACTGAGGCCGAACACCTCGGTTTCTCAACATGGGACCTTATGAATCAACCGATAACATCCTTTTTAGGTTGTTTTTTCAGGGAAGCCAAACGGAACACCGAAGCCATTGTTGGAGGTTGGCTCCGCTATATTAAGACACCCACACATTGATCTAGTCTTTTATCATGGGGGGGGGGGTACTACAGTAATTCCAAACATGAGACATGGGACCCTCATCAAGCGGGGGTCGAAATCCCACTTTTGTTTATCACCCAGAGGTCCTGAATCCACCTTCCATGGGACGCGTCCAAACCAGGGCTCAAAGTCAATCTCCCACCCCAAGCAAATACTAACTTGGGCCACCCCATATTCAATCGCTCAAAACTATCCATCAACCATCGCTCTACGAAACCACTCAAACTGCTCTTCATTTGTAACAGCGGACCGTTTCCATTCAGGGTTCCAAATGGGTACGTGTCAAAGGGCAACCCTCATCCGCAGCTTCCTATTCTTTTGTATGCCAATGAACCTCAAACACCACAAGTCCAAAACCAACAACCACAGCCCCCTTTCTTTTAAAGCGAAACAGAAACAAGCACCACAGACCCAAATGTTGGTCCCCTTAAAGAAAAACACAAACAAACCAGACACAAACACACACACACACACACACACAGGCCCAGCCAGCACCCGGGGCCGCCAAAGAAGCTCCCCGAGGCTCGCGCCAGGCCAGGGAGATAGCTATCGCCTTGCAGGTCCAGCGGGTCACCACCGGCACCCACTTCTGGTAGTCCTCGTTGCCCGGGCACCGAGCGAAAGCGCCGAAAGCGAAAAAGCGAAAACAACATGCAAGCGAAAGCGGGCACCGTGTGGGGTGTTGGTTTCCGTGAAAAGGGCCACAGGCTGTGTTTTTTTTTTGGGGGGAGCCGACTTTGGTTGGTTCAGCAGGTTTTGTGACGGGATCCTTCTACCCTTCAGTTAACCCTTGTTTCTGATCTATACTCCTTGCTGGGGTGGGCAGTCTGCAAAAAAAAGGGTCCTTTGATTTATGCGCCGCGCCGTGCCCCCAAAACTAAATGAAAAATGTCCCGCTGCCCGAGCCGCCCACAAAAAGCAAGAATAACGTCCGAAGTAGAAACATATGTTCAACTAAATGCTGATTGCCTCTCTAAAATGGTTGAGTTGGGGGCCCGGGGGCCTTAAATATTAAATTCATAGTCATCATCACTCCCTCCCACTAACATAGAGACTGTGGGAGGATATCTGGAAGATCAAATTCTTCCTGAAGAATTTCGGTTCGTTGAAGAGAGGCTGAACAAATTTGTCTGCCCCCCAAAGCAACTCAAAAAAACACACCTCCCTCCCCCCCAACCAAAAACAGAACAACTCCAGAGACAGCGGTTTTATATCAATTTCTCCTCGGGGATGACCGACTCTATGGCGGGCTCGATCTTGCTAATGGGCTTGTACACCTTGGAGCCAATGACCTCCGCCAGCTTGAAGTGGAGTCGAGTCGACGGGATCGCGCCGTTTTGGGGTTGGGATGCCGGAGGTTGAGGAGAGACCAACGCAAGAATTGGGAACTACCGGGGTGGCATTGGTGGCTGACACAGGTTCTGAGGAGAGATTTTAAAGGGAAAGAATAGGGGGGCAACCGCTGCTGTTGGTGGTTTAAGTTTAGTTGAAGACAAACATAAATGCGACTAAGATGTGTTTTGTTTTTGTTTCAAGGAGCAGGTACCCCATCATATGGCTGATGTTGTAGCCTGAAAAGCGCCATGCTAAATTGGCACCAGTTGGAGGCTGCGCAGGCAGAGGACACTTGGACCGAGTTTTCATCGGGTTCATCTGGCCGAAGTGCACACATTCATCCTGATAGAAATGGAGGAGCCAGGATATTTAGAGATGGTTGGCTTTGCTTGGCTATGGCAACTAGCACTGGGCTCAACACCCAAAGCCCCAGAAGGTCAAATCAGTTGCTACAGCCTGGCGGCCTTGAGGTTCCAGGTTAGAGGTTTCCCCATGCCTCGAGACGGGGGCCAGGTTTGGCACATACACATGAGATCACCTTAGCTCGCACGAGCAACGTCACCCACCAAACTGAAACAAACACGCGCATGCACCCCGCACGCAAGCACGCACGCACTCACACGCACACGTATGGACGCACAAACGCCAAGAACCGCATGCATAGACTATATTAGACTATTTTGTGATCTATTTAAAGTCTTGAGCGGTGCTTTAATGCGATGTGCTTGCGAGAACGAATGGCATACCCAAAACCGATACCCTGGTATTGTTAGCTACACAATGTTACACATGTGTTGTTCTTGTAGGGTCTGTTCAAAAGGCTCGTTTATGAGAAGGCCCGTTTCACATGTCCAACGTGATGGTCACTCAAATTCTGACACATTTTCCGTTCAAAGGGCCCCCGACACGAACCCCGCCCAAGGCGCCTCTCCCAAGGTGACAGTTCGAGCCTGGGGGAACGTCCAGCGTCAGCGCGTCAGGAGAAGCGCAAGCCACCGATCCCGCCAGAGATTACAGGGCTATGAGTCAAATCCAAATCGTACCCCCAGTGAGTATCCCAATCCCCACTAAAATGGACTAAAATGGGTGGCGCACCTACCCCAAAATGGGATTTGATTGGTCCCATTGGTTTTTACCACAGCCACAGTAGTTCCCTTCCACCCACAAAGGGAACATGCATGGGGAGGGTCTTTGTGTGGGGACGTCCATACGCAATGGGGATGTTCAACCAGTGCAAACCACCAATCAAGGTGTGATGGTTGCTAGGCCTGGCAATAGCGGATGCCCGGATGCCAGTTGTCTGAATAACTGACATCTGAAGGTTATATAAACGTACTTTCAGAGGGTACAACGAGCAGAGGGGCAGAAGAAAACACACACACACATAGGACAGGAGGTTTGTCTTGTGGGGGATCCCTCGCTCAAATGCGCTCTCAAGACATGCGCATTGAATCTCAAGACACATTGGTCAACGTTCAACTCTAAAGCTTCGATCTGAAGAGCTTGCTTTTACGCAGGTCATGCAGACCAAATTAAACAGGGGCAACCAAATGAGATGGTGATGCATGTTGACCCAAAGAAAGCAGGCTTATAAGGGAAGGGGGAAGGGTTGGTTTAGAGTTGATTTAACGTTGGTTTAGGCTTGGCATATGCACACAAACCAAAAGCAAAACCGTTCATACATCAAACCGCAAAGCTTCTGCAACACCTTCCGCATGCTTCCGTGCACATGTTCAAGAATAATGTCCCTCTCCTTGCTACTTTCCAATTGCGGGCAACAAAACCGACGCTCACATGGGTCTGAAATTCACTTGGCACCATGTTTGAGGATCCCCGTTGAAACTCACTCACAACCCGCTAAGCAAATTGGAAGTAAACCGTGAGAATCTGTTCGGCTCATTCCCGTTGAACATGGTCCCTACAAACCACTCCCGAGGGTTCAGGCCAAGAGAAAATCGGATGAACACGGCGAAATGGGCTTGTTCTTTTTTGGGGTGCCCCGCTCTAGGCAGCTTTTGAAGAAAACAAACAGGAAAGCCACGACTTTAGGGTTCCCAAAAAAGAAGACCAGCCACCCAACTGGGGGCTTTTCCAGGCGGCCCCGCGAATTGGAGGCGCAGCACGCCGATGACGCCGATCCAGGCCACGTAGATGGTGGACTTGGAAAAAGGAATATTTCTAAGGGTTGTTGTCCGAAACAATCTGGGACTACACCCTTGGGAAATGGTTCAATATGGTCCGAAGTAACATGGATGTTGTCACAAATCTATTCCCAAATGGGGTCATTTCCCAGCAGGCGTAATACAACAATCCTGAGAAATATAGAGCCAAGAGGGTTTTCGGCATAAGCCTAGGACACAAGGGATGGTTTAGGATGGGTCATTCCAGTTCCCTCATTCCTTGATACTCAAGTAAGAACTGCATTCCTTGGACCCCACAGTACACAAACCAGTAAGAACTGCCGATTCTGATTCACATTTAGCAAACCTGAGAATACATATCGCAGGAAACCCCGGCCAAGGGGAACAACTGAGGCTTAGCCCGGCAAACGCCACCTGATTTTAGCCCTGTAAGGCCTTCGAGTACAAATCGGGTACCACCAGTTCAAAGATCTAATGATATGTGGGGCACGTTCCAAGCACGTGCTCCTTGAGAGCCACAAGAGTGACCGCGCAAGTCAAGGGTTTGTCTCGCATAGGCAGCCTCAAAGAGGGTGAACATCCCTTGAAAACACACCCACAAAAATCTGGACCTTGTTGCACAGCAATAAAAGCAATAGGCTCCCGCAAGGCATACCCAGCTTAGAACGAGAAATGTTACATGCTTTCTTGCTGATGCAAATGCATTCGGTTCTCGCTCCCCCCCAAAACAGACTCACAGACGCAGAAACTTCGCCGCAAAAATCCAGCGCCAGGGCTGCTCGAGATCCTTTGCGCCTGACCCGAGTAATGCACCGACCACTAGCTGGCTCGACTTTTTGACACACGTGCTCAGGTGTGTCTCAAAAGGATTTGTGTGTGTTGATTTGTTTTTTCCCCGATGGCTCCCCTCTTCTCACTTCCTGAGAAACTGCAAGCACAATCCAAACTATAAATTTACCACTAAAACGGTCTCCCAACAGTTTTAAAGTCCAGGAACTCCGGAAGTGAGTCTTTTGCTTTGAAAACAACCCCCAAAACAAGGTATGCCCTCGAAAGACAGAAACTCAAAGGCCTCTAGAATCGCCAATCAGCTTCGATAAAAAAATGCTGGGGAAGTGTCAAATTTAAGACTGACCCCCTCCAAAATGATTTGTTCCCTCACCGTGTCCCTTCAAAACAAATGCTCATTGCTAGATATCTTCCATTTGCTTTTTCGCCCCCTGGAAAAATGAGAGAATCTGTCCAGTAGTGAAATCAAGTCCCTTCAAAACCAAGCGGACAAATGACACATATTCATTTGGGGGTTTCTCAAAATTTGCAGCCCCGCCAAGTTGGTCTCCTTTTGCTCTTGAATCCGAGACGGGGACCCCTGTTTTTAGAAACGCCCATTTCAGCAAACGGAAGTTCTCCCGTTGGCTGCTGGCTCCTGTTGGCGTTGCCCAAAACGAGGCAGATTTGGACGCAGCTGAGCTCTGGACCAGGGATGTGCTGACCTGTCCCGAATGTCGTGCCGGAGGCTTCCGGTTGCGAAACTCAAGCTGAGGCCTTTAAATTCAGGCATGACATGCTTGACGCCTTTACCACTTTCCAGAAATTTGCTTTTTATTGCAACAAAAAGGTGGATGCCAGCCACGGCAAAAAGGACCTGAGTGGATTGGTCGAAGCTGGGCTACCCAAAAAGCTTCAGGGCCAGGAACTCACGCGAAGGAGACCACACGCTTGGCGGGTTCCGCGCTGCTGCAATAACATGCAAAAGGACCCTTTTGCAATCCTTTCTGGAGATGAGGGTGGCATGCTCGGCTTCAGAATCGCACAGGAAGGAAATAGGTTCAGGGCGCCACAAGCCGACTGCAAAGTGATCACAGGTGCACATTTCTTGGTGGGATGCAGTCCTCAGGGCAAAAAAGGAACATGAATTGTTCCTCGATGCATGGCAGGTGTTCTATTGTAGAGGGATGCATCACTTTTCTGGCCTCAAAATCAACATTGTGCTCATTTGCCAGTGGGATGAACATGCGCTAACGGGCCGCCCGGCAACTGTGTTGGCCAAAGCCGTAAACAAGCTAAAGATAGGCTGGTGCTGGAAGCCTCAACCGTTTGCTCGGTTCGTTGATGTGTTCCAGCCAAGCCATCATTTCGTCCCAACAAGCCATCCAGCTAAAGTAAGGACTACACTCCAACAAGCATAAGCGCTTGGACACCAGCACCCCGCAACCACTGCTTAAAGCAGCTGGCAACCTTCTTTGTGCTTGACATTAAAGGCAAACACGCTCCAACCAAAAAGTAGAAGAACTCAATTGAGCAGCCGATGGGCAAGTCTTCCCAAAAGTGAAGAAAGTCCAAGCAAGGAAACCAGCAAAAGAGAGGCCCCCTCCAACAAAACGTTGCTTGCGCATGTGTCAAAATATGGATCTGGACCCCATGAATTGAGGAGTTGCTATTTGTCCTCCCTTTAAACCCCTGTGAAAATGGCGCTTTTCGCCGCGCAAATGACGAGCAAGCCCGCGTCATGTCAAAAGGGCTTGCTGGTGCTTACTAGGGAATGAGCCATTCCCTCTTCCGGGTGTTGAAAAAATGAACCGGCCTTGGGGATTCCCTAAAAAGGAATCCACCGGTGGTTTCTGGTTTGATCGGAAAAAAAAATCCCTGCATCCAAACAGCCCCGGGGCCCGGCCGGCCTTCTCTGGCTCCATAACGCGTAAGGCCACCGCCATCTTCTTCTGGATGATGTCGTTGGACCTTCGCCGGGATTCAAGTTGAGCACCAGATGATCGTGTCACGTGAATCGAAGAAGATGTCCAGTAGTGATAGATTTCTTTTTAAACCCATTGGGACTTGAGCATCTCTTGCAAGAAGTGTGCACCAAATCTTTCTGGGCTCTCAAACTCGAGGCTTGGCCAATCCGATCCCAGGGAAGCCACAAAAAGGACCCCTCGCATTACCCAGGGTAAGGATTAAGGCTATACTTTTGAACAGCCCCGAAGAATTCAGGCCAAAAAACAAACTTTCCTGAACCAAGCCACGTCTCTTGGAAGGGCAACACCAACAATTTCCACTCTGCAGCCATTACATGTGCCATGGTGAAGAAGCCTAAGCTGGCCATGGTCATGGGCCATGGGTTCACATGAATAGGACTCCTTGCTTTCACATCGCTAGGAACGAACATCCTTACCAAATTCAAGGAACTTGTCACCGGGTCGTTTGACACTCAGGCGGGAAACTTGGCCGCCCCAAGCCCACAAGAGCTCATGACTTTGTGTCTCGGTATTCCTCAAAGAGAAGCACCCTTTTCGGATGGCATTTTCACGGGTAACCTGGAAGGGTTGGATTCTGGGCGGTTTTTGCGCACGCTACTCGTCGCTACTCGTCGAACATCCCGGCTGGTGGCAGTAAACGATGCCCAGTGCCCTGAACCCTATGCTTCCTCGACTTTTTTTTAAATAGGGGTTGTTCAACCCCTATTTTTTGCATTGACAACCCCTATTTCTTGACATGGGCCTTTGGGGTCCATTTTGGGTTGTTACTTTGTTTTTATCGAAAACAACACCTGCTATTGCAACCTCTCAAGTAGCCTTGGGAGCCAGTAGACTACTATTTATTGATAGGGTCATCCGGGCCCTTTCGTGTTTGCGCAATGCACCTGCTGAAAGTCTTGCGTAGACGGAGCGGAGCCTTCATTCTAGCAAATTCTAGAATTCTCCTCTGCAATTTGCGCAGGTGGCACGAACAACAAGCAATTTTGCGCTTGGTTCTTCCGTTCCAATTTTCACTCAGCTCCAAAAACGACGTGAGCGTAGACAAACCGTAGACAAAGCGTAGAAAAACCGTAGAAGCACTATTTTTTGGCGTAGAACTACTTTTTTTTGGCGTAGAACGGGCAACTTTTGCAGGGGACCCAGAAGATCAGCATTCTCATCCTGGAATGGTTGCTGTGATGGGTAGATAGTTTTGCTGTCCCGTTTTTTTTTTGTTTGGCAGAAGGTGAGGCAAAAGAAGGACAGAAACGGTCAGAAGAGGGTTCACCCTTAAGAAACCAAGCAACATACCTTGAATATTGTAAATCATATTGCTGCATATGAAAATACATATTCGGCTTTGGGATCCTTGCAGTGGCCTTAACGTCAAGTCAGTGTTTCCTAGCCCTTGTTCCAGTCCAAAACGGAGGCTGCCGCTCGTCATCAAAAAATATCGTTTAAAAAACGGGGTTGTCACAACGACTATTTTTTTAAATAGGCTTTGGAAGCATAGGGTGAAAGATACTGATGCGACTGTGTGCTGCGTTCGCCTAAATGGTTCCAGGCGACTCCTTCATATTTCCATCCATCAAGAAAGAGGGGGCCTGCCGTTTTGGACGAACATGTGGGTGTCCTAAGAAAGGGTGGACCCCTGCCAATTGGCATTGGTGGTCTGTTGATTTTCGGGAGCAGACCTAACTTGGGAACGTGCCAAGTAAAGCAAACCCTCAATGGCAAATTCACGCTGGCGCCAATCAGCTGAAGCCCCGCATTGGTTGGAGGGTATGCCCTAAAACAGAAGCGAAACCTCACGTCAAATGCCCAGTGGCCATGGCAAACAAGAATCGGCATCCTTTTTGGTTGGTTGGCTTTAAATGAATCGGAACCCTTCCCAACAAGCTCAAAACAGAGCGGAATGAATCCACTGGGCAACTGGGATACGACAGCTCGACCTCCCTGGGCTCCGGACGACAAGGTCTCTTTTTGGTCCTTGTCCTTGTCCTCTTCTTTGGCCTCCTCCTTACTGGCATCCTCAGGCAGGGCAAGCAGGCGGATGCCGCGAATTGCTGCAGCCTTTGGCACGAGTTTTCGATTCGCGCAGAGCCGAAGAGAAGGTGAAATCCACGTGGTGTTGGCGATGGAAACCCAACAAATGGGCTATTTGCCGTTGGGTGTCCCTTTAAACCCACTAAAAGGGAACTCACAAAAAAGAAAAAACAAACACATAATTATGCCCATCCAGCTGAAAGGACGATTGGAACCCTGCGGGTCGGCGGGTTACCAAAATCGCGGGAAGGTGAATCAATTGCGGCTGTAGTCCAACAATCAGCATTGAATTTCAAGGAGATTCATTGAAGTTGTTCCCCGCCGAAGATGACCAACATCTCAAAACAGGTTGAACCTTGGAGGTCTCTCACAAGTGGGGTTGACCAAAGGGTCCTTTCCATGGGATCACCTTCGGGGAAACCACTACTAGGTCCTCCAGTAGAGGTTAGAACAAGGGTACCAACTTTTTTCTGTAGTCTATTTTAGTAGGGGAACCCTCCCCCAACAAAAGATTAAAGGGTACTCCTGGGGGGACCTAGACTAAACACACTATATATTTCCCATGGCAATGACTTCTAATTCGGAACCCTTAGACTTTGGGGAACATGTCCACCACTTGTGAGATGGTTCCCTATCAAGAATTCATAGCCACATGGCCATGGGTCAAAAGCCGAATCGTACACCCAGTGAACATCCCAATCCCCACTGAAATAGACTCACATGGGTGGTGCACTTACCCCAAAATGGGATCCTATTGGTTTTGACCCACAGCCACCTGGCTTAAAAGTTAGCCCTGGTCAAACCTGGGGGCCAAAGGCAAGGGGAATTCTGAGGCGAGCACGGCCACCTTCATGAACTCGTTGAGGAGGACTTTGGTCTGTTCCCAACACTGGCGACGGAGCTCCCCAGGAAATTAGCATCTCCAGAGCGGCTCCGGGCGGAACCAGTTCCGGAAGGGTTGTTTGGGGATACCATCTGGGTTTGTTTCAAGTTGAATGTATGGGGGTGTTGAAGAGGGAAACTGAATGGACAACTGCAAACTATCTTCTTGGTTGCTGTTGACCCCCCTGCAGAAAGTTTAACCTTTTTCAGGGTTTAGTGGAAAACCCCTTGATTTCTCAAACAGTTAAAGTATAAAGATCCAACCCAATAGCAGTCAAGTCTTGAGACAAGCTCATGTTGCAGGGGGAACGCTGTGATTTACAACCAATTGCTATGGTTTGGCGGTTGGACCATCTGCGTCCACTTGTAATACTGAGAGAACGTGCGTGGCAAGTGGGGAGCCCACACGCAACCTTTTGATTGAACCTGCAGGGTTGATCCTGTTTGCCCCATTGGAAGGGTAAGATCTTTCTTTCCGTTTTTTGGTGAAGAGAAAGTCGCTAACTTTCTGTGTCGATCTTTCAAGGCTAGTGCAGAATTTCAACCCCGCTGCGGCGTGGCAAGGAGTCCAACAAAGACTGTGGCAAACCGGTGAAGCAAAACACTCTGGGGGCGGGGGCAGCAACAAACATTGTTCTTCGTGACAACCGCTTTCTTTCATGTAGGGACGAACAACGAGATGGTTCCCGACTTGCAATGAGGGTGGGGCCCCTGTCCAAACAGGATTAGGCCCATGTATTTGTTGGACATCCTCATTTAGGCGTCCCTTGCAGGGGTCCATGCAAGGGGTTTACACTGCTTGCCATGATCAGGACATCAATCACATGCATTGATGTGTCTATTGTGACCCAGAACCAGTAATTACAGAAGCTGGCAGCGACCAACTTTGCCACGGGCAGACGTGTGTGTGTGTGTGTGTGTGTGTGTGTGTGGGTGTGTGTGTGTGGGTGTGTGCATGTCTGTGTGTGTGCGTGTGTGTGTGTGCTTTGAAGAACGACCCAAAACCTGCAACCCATCCAAAAGGATAATATATTAAACACGCCTTTGGGCTTGTTCAAAAATGGGCTGCCTGTTGTTGCACATTTGTGTGACCCCCCCGAAGCTATACTGCAGGGCCCACAATTACCATCAGTCTCTGGCATACTTATCAACACCAAATTGGCTGTGGCTAAAACATAGGTACCAAAACGGCGCCTTAGCAAATGGAACTAACGACTAAAACCTGCGTAACCCGACCTCTTTATTTTGAGCCACACCAAATTGAGTCATGATCAAATCTGCAAAGAATTCGTCAGAAACTTCGTTTCTTGGCCTGGTTCCTCCAAGCTTTGGTGGTGACCCAGTGGCTTCCATTTGAGTCATTTGAATACCCTGAGAACAGGTATCATCATCTCCAGCCGTACTCCGTCCATACACTGTTGCCCCCGTGTCCAAGGGAAAATGTAGAGGAAAGCTCCCCGGTCAATGCCTAGTCCCTGACAAGTAGATGACGCTAAATGCCCAGCAAACTGAAAGTGCCATCTGCTTTAAACCAAACTGACAAAAACAACACATCCATGGCCTGGTGGATGTGCCACGTGTGTGTGTGTGTGTGTCTCTGTGTGTCTGTGTGTCTGTGTGTCTGTGTCTCTGTGTGTCTGTGTCTGTTTGTGTGTGCGTGTGTGTGTGTGTGTGCGGAGTGACAGAATACCCTGTCACCACCTTGTGCCGGTTTTGGAAGCAGGGGGCCAGCGGCCATCAAGCAAACGCTGGCCAACGAAGCTATGCTTGATGGTGGATGCACGGATTGATCACCCGTGTGTACCTGCTTTTGTGAAGTGATGTTGATGAAAGTCCTTTTGGCCCTCTTCTTTCGCTCGCTGTGTGTGCTTCATGTTGGAACTTGTAACGTTTTCGACACTAGAGTGAAGCCAAGTGACCTGCCAGCCGAACCTTATCCGACTTTAGACTTGTCAGTTGTACTCGAGACTCATCAGTTGTACTCGAGACTCATCAGTTGTACTCGAAAGATTAGCACTCTCCATTTGGAGTTTAAGTGTGTACACCCCATTCGTGGGGAATCCTCGGGTGTACCCATTGTGTGACCCCGGGCCGGCTCTGTCGGAAAATTTGACCTCAACGTGCTTATCATAGAACGGCGGAATTTCACATTTAACCAGGAGCGAGGTTTCACTAAAGGGAAGACAGCGGTCAGATCATAGCGACGTCTCACCCTACGTTCTTTCTTCTCGCCTTCTTCATCCGCGTGCCCGTCTTCTGGTTTTTCGCCCGCTTAGGGATGGCTTCTCCTTCCTCCCGTTCTCTTTTTGCTGCCTTTCGTGACCCGCGCGTTCGTCCCGCTCCTGTTCGCCCGCTTAGGGATGGCCTGGTTGTCCTCGCGTTGTTCACCTTTTTCCTCGTCTTCGTCTTCGTGTCTGTCTTCCTGTTCCTACTCCTCTTCTTCCTCACGTAGTTTGGCTTGACGTCTTCTTCCCCTTCCGTTGCTACTTCGGGTCCGTCCTCTTGGCCCCTGTGTGGGATTCGACGTCTTTCTCCGCGAGCCCTGGTCTTCATCCTCTGTTCCTGTCTGGGCGGGATGCGTCGCCCTAAAAACGCATACTACTACTACTACTTCCCTCTTCCTCTTCCTTCTTCTTCCTTCTTCCTTCTTTTCTCCTTTTTGTCTTCTTGCCTTCTGCTTCTTTTTCCTTCTTCCCGGGCGGGATGCGGCGCCCTAAATACGCACCCTGCTCCTTTCTTTTTCCCCCGGGCGGTTGCGACGCCCTAAATACGCTTCTGTCTCTCTCTCTCTCTTTCTCTCTCTCTTTCTGTGTCTGTCTCTCTCTCTCTCTCTCTTTCTTTCTCTCTTTCGTCCCTTTCTTTTCTTTCCTTTCTTTTTCCTTCCCTCTCTGGGCTATCTCTTGTACTTCCTGTTCGCCCGGTTAGGGATGGCCTGTTCCTCTTCTGCCTCTTTGCCTTCGCGGCCCCTTTCGTCTACAAGGTCTAGGTCGTTTTGCGCTGTTTGGGGTTGTTGCCCTCGGAGACCCGAAACCTGGCTTCCCCGTTGTTCTTGTTTCTTGTTTGGGGTTTTGCCCGCGGAGACCCAACCTGGGGCCTTTCTGTTTCTTTTGGGCTCCCTTGCTCCGTTTGTTTTCTGTTGGGGTCTTCGCCCGGTTTTGGGGCGCGTGGTTTTTTCTCCCCCCGAAAAAGAGACTTCTCGCCCCTCTGTGAGGGGCGTGTGTGTGCGGAGTGACAGAATACCCTGTCACCACCTTGTGCCGGTTTTGGAAGCAGGGGGCCAGCGGCCATCAAGCAAACGCTGGCCAACGAAGCTATGCTTGATGGTGGATGCACGGATTGATCACCCGTGTGTACCTGCTTTTGTGAAGCGATGTTGATGAAAGTCCTTTTGGCCCTCTTCTTTCGCTCGCTGTGTGTGCTTCATGTTGGAACTTGTAACGTTTTCGACACTAGAGTGAAGCCAAGTGACCTGCCAGCCGAACCTTATCCGACTTTAGACTTGTCAGTTGTACTCGAGACTCATCAGTTGTACTCGAGACTCATCAGTTGTACTCGAAAGATTAGCACTCTCCATCTGGAGTTTAAGTGTGTTTGCGTGTGTCTCTGTTTTGGAGGGTGCCCGATTGTGTTTAAAAGGAACCCGTCTGGGAAAACCATCCATTGTGGCCCTATGACACACCCCGAACCAACCCTATCGGGGTTTCTCAAAATAGGGGACCCAGTTTGGATAGTTTTCAAGGGAAACCAAAAGGATAACCGCCATGTTGATATCTCGCTCCACTCCGAGCGCCCCCCCTCAAGCGAAGCCCGAGATCGCTTTCGCTTTCCGCCTCGATGCCGCCGCAGAGATTCCAAGCCTGTGACTGACTCAGATTCACTGGGATACGGGGTCCGTCTCCTTAAATGCGACCTGTCGACATTTGGCAGTGGTTGTCAACAATATGAGAAACACAAAATGGCTTCCGGAAGTGGAAGCATTGGACTAAAACCAAAAAGGTCCAATGCCTGGTGGCCTAATTTTGACCCGTACCACCTCACAAAGGGGCCCCTCAAGAAAGACACTGCAAACTGTCCATTGGAACAGCCGCAATCATAGTCAAAGCTAGTCGGTGGACATATCCCCCATGTGACTGATGTCCACCGAAGGATCGACAATTTTGCCAACTCACATTCACACCTCTGGTGCTGGCATATTCCCTGTTGAAGCTGAAAGACGAGTACAGGGACTCTTTGGGACGCTGCCCAAAATGCCCAAAGCAAGACGGGGGAGGATGTCAAAGCACGTCCGGTGGTGAATAAGTCTGACAAGCTTCATCATTGGTGAAGTGGACTCAGAACCACAGGTGTCCGACTTTCGCCGCGGCCTCCCCACTGAAGAGGCCCATCCATACAACACCCCATTCATGCGCCAGGGGGCATACGTCCTTCTTGTGTTGGACAAGTTTGGCATACATCCGAGACGGAACCTACACCTCCAGGGGCAAGCCGACATTCCCCCCACAACTTTGGGGCCGGGGGTTTCCCTAGTCTTCCCCAAAGGGGAGATGCAAGGGGAGATGCCAAAAAACTCTCTGCAGCTACAGTATATATGGATGCACCTAAGTCAACACAGGATCTGTCATTCCCAAGCAAAACTACGATGCTTGCGGTGCCTAAAAAACATAAGGCATTCCAGGCGGTCTACATCCGAAGCTTCCGGAATTCCAGGTTCCACAGGACGGCGGCTCGCTTGGAAGCTGCAAGCTGGCGGTTGGGATGGGCTGTCAGACCCACAGCCTCATGTGATGTGTCAAGAGGGATCCGACACCAAGATGAGATGTTCCTCCTTTGCCCTAACCTCGCTTGCTGAGTGGATGGCCCAAAAAAAGTTCAAGCTTTACATTTATACCACTAATATGGTCCAACCCCAAAAAGCTTAAAGTTCATGAACTGAGGAAGTGAGTCACCTGAAAGGCTACCATTCGCCCCCAAACAACAAGCCCCACAGCGGGTGATTCTTCGTGGCCTCCGCGGCTGCGATGGTCACTGGGAAGATGCCGCCAAAGAAGCACACCAGAAAGCCTGCCGATCGGAGCTAATCCTCGGGCTCTCTATAACCGTATTTTTAATCAGCTCGGGTGCTGCAACGACCCCGCTGCGTTTGCAGCTCTCAACTGTTGGAGGGGTCAATGGAACCCCCCTGGATTTCAGAGAAAACAAGTTGAAGCCCAAAGATCAACCCAACAGCAAGTCAAATTGATCAATGTGTCCCAGTTGCAACCAGTGACCTTGGAGAGGAGAGCCAGCCCCCCGAGCAGCGCGTGAGTTGCAACCGGCGACCCTAATAAATGGCCGCAACCCTTTCTGGCGTTGATCATGTTGTAAAGGCGAAACCGCCAATCCAACTGGAGAAACGGGGCAAGTGAACAAATCGAGGCGCTCTCCGGGTCTGGTAAGTAGGTGGAAAGGGAGCAGAATGCACCCACTTCGTAGCCCAGACATCAGTTTTGGCCTGTTTGCCTGCGATCGAAAGGGTGGACACTTCACATACGGTTGCACTTGGAAGGCCTCCAAATTTGATGGAAGCAAGACCATGCCCTTACATTCTAGCCAGCAAGCACTCACGTCGAACGATGATCCTACGTAGGAACAATGCATTGATGTTCGCATAGCACGTTAAAAAAAAGAACCCCAAAACTAGAGTCCCCCAAAAAAGGACTTGTTCTTTGGTTCCCGCTTTAATCTGCAGGGAAGTACATCCACCAATCCACAGCACCAGCAAAGGGAAACCTGAACATGATGCTTGGGGAAGAGGGACGACACCCTATCCTTTGCCTCAACCAATCAAAACATCCAATTGCAGTACCTAACCCTCCAAACATCCCCGATGGGGCTGGCCATGGCTCATTGTGTCCTAGTGACACAGGAATTTCCTGAGTACCCTCCCTCCAACCTGGTGGAGGCACTTGGGAGACGAACTTCCTTTCATGGAAAGCTTCCCGATCGCCCGCGTCCATTGTTGGAAAGAGGGTAGACAAACAGAGGGATTCCTCAGGCAGCCATGACGCCTTGGTTCACCCGACTGGCAAGTCTTGACCATGGCTTAAATGGTTCCCCCCCAAATAAAAACTTTATCCCTCCATGCTTCCATTTGCTTTAAGCCCCCTGGGGAAAAAACAAAGCATTGTGATAGATTCCCATTAAAACCACCAGGCGGTTTTAAACACACTATATTCCGGAGCAAATGGAAGAAATTCGTTTCCGAATCCAAGGCTGCGGCTCAAAATGGCCCAGAAGATCTTGTCCGGGAGCATCATGACTGCTGCCTAAACTTGGTTGACGTTGGAGGGGGAGCAAAAACATATATTTTAGTAGTTAAGTGGGGATTTCCCACTAAGCCACAATAAGCAAAAATGCAAATGTTTCCCAACCACAACCATGTAAACCCCGTGGATTCATGGGAAGATACCGAGCAACCACCCCCTCCAGGTTCCAAAACGCCCAACAGCTGCACCATTTTTTGGGGGTAGGACAACACAACCCTCCGGTAGCCACAGGTGTGGGCCAACACCTAGGTGACATGCAGTAAAAGTTTTGGCGATACCTCAACCAAAGGTTCCGGAGAAGTCAGGTTTTGTGCAAACTGAACCAGCAATGCTGCCACTTCACACATTTGAGAGAAGCTTTGTCTATCGTGAACTTGAAATTCAAAATGCCATATGGGGTTGTCTAAAAATATAGGAACCCCAAAATGGCAGCGGTGTCCTTTTGGTTCTCTTAAACCAACCCCAAAAGTGGTACCAAAAAAACGACGAGCCACCCATTGCCATATCCATCTCAAGTCAGCGCACGATGCACTTGCTGATGCAGGTGAACATCCTGAACAACGGCGACGATGTATCAAAATGCGGGGTTGGCTGAATTTAATAATGTTACTATAATTCCAAAGGCTGGTTTTAGGGATCACCAAGTAAAGGACCCTTATGGTGAGCTGGGTATATTTTCAGGTGAGCTCGCTATAAAATAGCCAGCTTAATGCAAATGCTCCAAGAAAACCCCTTCCGGCAGCGAGGTAGCAAACAGAAAGTGCTTTGAATGGTTTCTGCCAGCTTGGCCTCATATTCTTCAGGGCTATGAATTCAAATGGGTGCAACACCCTGAGACTTGGCTAAAGGACATACATCCAACCATGCCTTTATGGTATCCACCAAAAGGTCCAGCCAGTAAACGTCCCTAAAATAGACTCAAGTGGTCGGTATATATCTTGATCTCCCTGTAAAACCACCACAACCAGCAAAGCTTTTAAAGTGACACGCGTGTCCATGAATTGTGTCGAGAGATACTCTAAAGAATGGGCCATGGTATTCCCGAAAGGCACGCCCAACAACTCAGGAAGCAAATTCTTAGCTATTTGCAAACGGGAACACGGACTTGCTGTCCACTAAAATGGCTTCCAAGGCTTCATTCCAAGGGGGTCACATGAGCCATCTGGTGGTTGTCAAACAGTTGAACCCCTGACTTTTGTCTATAATATAAAGCGATATAAAGGGCTAAATAATTGCATTGACATACGTCATTGTACCAGATTCAAAATGCAATTTGGTTTGTCCACAAAGTACCCGACCCTGGGGTGCTGCTCAGGCCCTAGTAGTACTGTATGTTGACCGAGCCTGACGTCTTCACACACACACACACCCGGCAAGTGGCCAGCCCGGTTGCGCCTGGACCTTCTTCGCTGCCTTCACCAGGTGGGGCAAAGCAATCCTCGGGGGCTGACATAGTTTAGATACCGAAGTCGAAGTGGTCATCCATATGGCTGTGGGTGGAAAAAAGGTAGCCCAGAATGGAACCCTGTCAAATGGCACCAAGGACTAAAACCTGCGGTCAAATGGTGGGTTTAATTTTGACCCATACCCATATGACCACTTTATGTTACTGTGAAGTGGCATCACAGAAATTGGCCTAGAAACAGATAATTTCCACACCCATGGAACATGTTGGGGAAGCTAAGAAGTGGCGAGACAATACGGGACACACACATACACACACACACAAGCAACTCAAAGAAAACCGAAGTCCAAGTGAATCATGACAGGGACCGGGCAAAGTAGCTCTCCATTGTTTGGGACGAGTTTAGCATGGCTTCAAAAGGAAAGAGCACTGTTCGGGGTGCCATACAATGTTCAAAGAGACAGCCAAAAAAGGAACCCACAACCAGTCACACAAATCACCCAATATAGATCACTCAGGGCCGAAACAGCATGATTCCCACCGCTTCGGATTCGTAAAGTCATCCATATCAATCGAAGGACTCCCACTCACCGGACAAAACGCCAGAAAAACCGGAATGAATAAACAACTACATCACGAAGCTCGTCTTACCCCCTAACCTCGCCATAACATAGCCCATGCTGACGTTGGAAGGGGAGCAAACAAATACATCTTAGCAGTTAAGTGGTTGGATTTCAACCACTAAACCACAACAAGCAAAAATGATTCCAATGTTTCCCAACGACCACCGAGATAGCTGGATTCAAAGATCCAGCTGATTCCAAGCTGCAGGAAGTGGATCCAAGCGATTGCCAGGTACGGCGCGGCTGACCTGCCAAGCGCCCAGCCGACCCGTCTCTTTTGTGCTTCACGTCCGATTGGGCCAAAAACTTCCGTCCAGACACTTTTTCTTGATTTACCCCTAGAATGGGAAAGTTCCAAAGAGGTTGTTGAAGTCCAGGAAAAAGGGAAGTGGGTTGCTTGTTGGTTGAAATGGACTTCCAAAAACAAGAAGTACATGAACTCAAGTGAGGGTCCACTTGACAAACAAATGGCGACCAACCAACCCTCCCCGATCAACATTCCATATTACGTAAACCCAACAGCCCCTGGAAACCAACGGCAAGAAACACAGCTCCATTCCAAGCAAGTAAAGGGACCCATTGAAAGTCACGCCGACTTTCCAAGCCATTACACGTTTTCGAACTCATCATAGGCACATAACATTTGCTCGAATCACTCACCTAAGAATCCCTAGGGCACCATTGACCGGAGTCCTTACGAAGCGCGGGCGAATTGCAAGCTCCCAAGCTTGTCTTCTCACCAAAAGGTCATTGAAGTCTATGAAGCGCTGGTATTGCTGCCCGTACTAATGAACCCCAGTTTATATTTAAATTTAGGGGGGTGTCCCTGAATTTAGCGGGGAATCATCACTTTTGGAGGGGAAGCCCTCCCAACTAGTAAGCTGGGGGTGATTAGTATGGGCTCAATATTACTCGGAAGTCAAGAACACACACCATGCTGCTGAGCAATCGGTTGAGGTTGGCATGGCGGCTAATGACTTAACATTGTCTCCGTGGCTGCTAGGGGTATCGTTTTCTGCTCCTCCTTAGCGGCTTGCAGCGCAGGCCTGCAAAAACAAGTTAAGGGGGTGCCCTTACATAGCACAGAGTCGCGGGGCTTATTTTGACTCAAATGAGCGGCGTTCAAAACATCCTGATCAAATCTAGGTCGTAAGGAAGTCGTACGCTAACGAGCTTACGCAAGCTTACGAGAGCACTGGGTAGCGATCACTCACACTGCACAAGCCACTTACGCGGCCTTACGCCGCCACCTGTTTGCCTTGCACGGGGCCCCTTATGACCACCCCCGTTCAAAATGGTTTTGAACTCTGCTCAAATGGAATTCCCCTCCCATGACTGCGTTGTCTCACTTTTGAGTGGGTTCCAACTTGGTATCCATGAGAGCTTTCTCGCCTCGAGGAACCCAAGCCCCAAGCCAACCGAAACGACCAGTTCACACATGATATGATCATGTCATGGCCACCCTGGCTATCTGGCAAATTTGATGGAATTCGACAACTTGGAAATAAGGATTCCCTGCGGACGCCTCTCAAACTCAGCGGCCCAAGCTTATTAACCACGCTCAACATGATGTAAACACTAACTGAACAACAAGGATCTGGTGATTGCGTGGAACTCGTGAAAAGCTCCTTCCCCAGATCCAACATGGCATCTGTGCCAAATCGCACGTGTTCTCTTTTTTTTACGCATTTGTCAAGATCGCCAAAAGACCGACAATGCTCAACAAGTAACTCATAATTCCCGCACCTGGCGCTAACAAGAAATCCAAACCCGGTAGGCACCCTGGTCCAAGGCGAATGCTAGATTCATCAGATGAAGCGAAGCCAGTTTGGGGTCGACCATTCCTAGCGGGGAACCCACAAGGAAAGGGCTAGGTCCTCCAGTTTTGGAGGTTAGAATAAGTTGGTACCAACTTTCTTCTGTAGTCTATTTCAGGTAGGAGAACCCTCCCCCAAAAAAGAAACGGTGAGAAAGGGCACCTAGCTGGGGGACCTAGAGGGAAAACTCGTTGCAATGAACTGGGACCTCCCGCTTCAGGTGATTCCTGACGCTGGGAGGGAAGCCCAGCGCGAGCTCCTCACATCTGGGAAAGCCTTGAGGCCTGGAGATCCATCCCTCGAAGTGCAAGCGCTCCAAAACAAGGGCAAAGCAGACATATTCCAAACCCAAAATCCATGCCTTGAAATCCATTCCACACCCTCAAAGCAAAACAAAGCCTTCCAAAAGGCTGTAGCCAGTGCGCCATGCTTCGTGGAAGGGGCAAATGCGGGAGGGCTGGGGCCCGATCGGCAGATTCCGCTTCCAAAACCTTCCCTGCCTTCATCGGTCAGCGGTCACCGGATTCCCACAAAGTTGATCAATTTACTGGTACATCACTTTACAGAAGTCTTCCCTTTCCCACCGACATAATATACTTCGGGTCTGCCCCTCAAAACCAACCACCAAGATCCACGAAAAGGGAACCAAGCTTCCAAAAGCCTGGCGCCACATGGTCTTCGTCCCTTTGGTTTCCGAAAAGAAACCGACCCATCCGACCAAGGGGTACCGAACCAGTGACCCCGGCATCGGTCCATCCCATCCGATCCATGTGTCCTCCAAGCTTCCAGAGACGCGCTGGACTTCAGCGTCGGAGGCCTCAAGGCTGACTTTTGGTTCGTTGCGGAGGAAGTCGCAGAAGAAACCAAAATGGATATACTGCCTGCTGGTGCAAGAAAGGTATGGAAGTTTTTGGAATGAACCCAGGCTTTGGTCCCCTGAAAGGAAACCACAGGGAACGGGTTATAGGGATCATTTCCTCATTCCCTGCCAGGAGAACCAGCAAAACTAACACTTGAGAAACGGATAGGACCACTGGGGCCTTCATGGCGAGCTTTTGCCAATTTGCCCAGAAAGTTGCTCCAAATGGTGGACACGCCACCCTTTTGGGTTGGTGTTGACACAGAAACCAAAACGTTATAGGGATCATTTCCTCATTCCCTGCCAGGAGAACCAGCAAAACTAACACTTGAGAAACGGATAGGACCACTGGGGCCTTCATGGCGAGCTTTTGCCAATTTGCCCAGAAAGTTGCTCCAAATGGTGGACACGCCACCCTTTTGGGTTGGTGTTGACACAGAAACCAAAACGTTATAGGGACCATTTCCTCATTCCCTGCCAGGAGAACCAGCAAAACTAACACTTGAGAAACGGATAGGACCACTGGGGCCTTCATGGCGAGCTTTTGCCAATTTGCCCAGAAAGTTGCTCCAACTGGTGGACACGCCACCCTTTTGGGTTGGTGTTTGACACAGAAACCAAAACAAAGCCATAGGGCCGGGGGCAAAATCTACAGCAAACAGACACCTGGCTGGTGAACCTCTTGCTTTTTGCCCAAGCTTTGGAGTCGTCTTGGCCCAAATAGGTTCTGAAGTAGTTCGGAGCGGGTCTGGGGTAGCGTTCCGGAACGGTTCCGGAAGGGCACATAAAATTCGTGCTTGCTGTTTGTGCGGAGGGGATCACCCATCAGGAACCAGACCATTCAGAAATTCAACACGCTCAAACCATTCGAGTGACCTGTAAATACAAACATCTTCCACTTGTTTGTATGGTGGTTCACCCAGGGAACGACCCTTAGTGGGATCCACTGGGGCCCCTGTATCTTCGATTGTTTGCAGCCTACCAGGTGGAATAGAATCCGTTTGGGAAACTCCATACAAATTTGTCATCACGACTGGAGCGCGCCACCGGGAGTCCCGGCCCATCCCTTTTGGACCTCCTTCTTCTTCTCCTTCGCTGCCTTCGCCTTGACGATCGAACATGCCGCTTGCCGGGAATCAAGTTGGGGAACCTCAAATCTAGGTGCGGGTCAAAATAGGTACCCATAATGGAACCCTGGCAAATGGAAACAAGGACTAAAGCCTGCGGCCCCCTGGTGGCTTAATTTTGACCCACACCCAATGTCAACCGAAGGCATTATTCAATGTAGGGAAAGCATTGCAGCTTTGGATCGCGGATCGATCGATGCGCAACTCGAGGATAGGAGTAGTAACTCAATTACAAACGCGCAAAAAGAAGTTGCCAAACAAACTCTCCAGCACTCCGGTCAGAGTCACTGACCGCAGTCAGAATGCCGGCCAAAATTTTGCCAAGCAGACAGGTCACAATTCCACATGACCCGTGCCAGGGTGGACTGGCCAAAAACTGATATGGGCCAACCCCAAAAAGTAACTAAAGTCCTAAAGTCCATGAACTCAGGGAGTATGGCATCCCTAGGAGTCCGCATGCGTGGCAAAATAACAGCTTCAGGATAATCGATGTGACACATCTCTGACTGGGATTTGACACTTAAGCTATAACATGTATATGTGCAAAAAGGTGGTTTTCCTTTGGCATCCCGTTTAAACGAACACCCCGAAAGGGTTCCCTTGAAGCAATACGCACTCATATATATGGGGCTGTGTTTTCTTCAAAACAGCATGCCCCGGTCATAGGACATATTATATGGATTATATATAAATAGGTAAGGAATGCAACAGGAACGCAAACAGACTTCAATGGTGTAAACCGGAGCAACACAAGCGAGCTGCGGGCACAATCAGAAACTTATCTAAAGGGTCAAGTTCCATTTGAAACAAACTGTTGATTCTAGGTTTCTAAATGTTCAAAAAACCTATCAGCAAGGCTGATCTAATCTTATAACTAACCTGCAAACAAGTTGGGGGCTATTGCCCCATGCTTTTGTTTCCAGTCGCCCAGGTAGGTTCAACAGCAATATGATTCAGCACACACCAAACAAGAGGGCCGCATCATGGGCTCTGTGTTCACTATCCTGCTTTGCTCTTCTTCTTCTTCTTACCCATCCAAAAAAAACTAACTCATCAGGCAACTACGCAAATGGGTTCTGGAAGTTTGCCTTTCCTGTAAACAGCGTTTGATTCCCAGGACGGCTATAGTCTCAAAATGGGGTCCATTGAAGACCCAGATGAAAAGCCAAAAAAAGGGAACCACAGAACACAAAAAAGAAATGCATGCAGCCAATGGGCTGACAGAAAGCCCACTGGGGCAAAAAGACAAAAAAGAAAAGAATTCAAGAAGAGGCCTCGGGCGGCCTAAGAGCGTAGGCAGGCTGTTTATGCTCTGCTTTGCTTGCTGCTTTGCTCCTGTCGCTGCTGCTGATTTGTCAGCTGTGGAAATGGAGCTCAACAGCAGCTCGGACGCAAATAAACTTTGCCCTTCGGGCAACGGCGCCACGGGGCGGAGCGAGCGCGCGGGGTCATGGCGGGCCATGACCACGAGCGCTGCACTGCCAACCGCTGGTGCGGAGTGTTCCACGGATGTGGAGAACGGCGCTGTGTCTCGGTGCAGCCGAATGCTTACCGTAAATGACACGGACACTGGCAACATGTTGCGGGAATCATGGCATGGGATTAATGGGTACCCTTGCCGCGGATCTTATAGCAACAGCACTTGTGGTAGCAACGGCAGTTTGAGCAGCTGTGTCCCGGAGGGACGAGCTTGCTCTAATTGCTTGCTTGAACGGCTGCTTGACCTTGTGATTCAAGCTGCTGACGGCCACCCGGCTCCCCCCCTGGTTGCTACGACCCTGTGGGGATTGACCGTGGTTGGTTTCTGCTCCGGACTGCTGGTAGCGCACTGGCTTAACCGAAAAAATCGAGATGATTTGAGGCAGAAGAAGCAAGCTAAGATCCGGGAAAAGCGGTTGCGCCACAAGAGGCGCCGCACGGCTATGTCAGGCGTTGCTAGGAAGTGGCGCCACGAGTGGGGGCCTGTTGCCTGTCGGTGGGCCGGCAGACGAATCAAGGCCCCACGTCTTCGGTGCCGCCAAATGGCTGCTCGACTGAGGGAGCTTAGAATAGGTTACCGCTGGGCGCCTACCAAGCCGACCGGCAACACTAAGGAGGCACCTGACGCACGCTGGCAAGAGGCCTGCGCCCTGAACACTGTGCTCTCAGGGGGCACTTCCGGCAAAAAGAGAGGCGGAAACGATGCCGAAATGGGGCTCGCTGAGGCCCTCACTCGGGCCTTAGAAGCCTGGAGCTCTGGGGGGGGCGCAAGCCGCTTACCTCAACAGCCACCCACCCGAACTGTCCGACTCAGTCCAGAGCCAACCAGGCCTACGAACTCCTTGCCGAAGCCAAAGCCAAGGCCATGAATGATGAGGTCCTGGCCCAGAAGCTGAAAAGCGTGCTTCAGTCTTGGATGAGGACCAAGCGCCAAACAGGGGCGCAACCGGACAACCCTGGGAATACCTGGGACAGCGGGAGCCGGACCTGGGATAGCGCTGGGTGGTCTTCCCAAAACAAACCCAAACAGGGCCCGGAACACAAATCTGCCTATGACTACAATGGTAGAAATGGGATCTCTCCGAGCGAAGTCAAGCGGGATGTGGGGCACCCACCGGCCAATGGCAACAGTGGTGGCAACGCCATCACGGGCTTAGTCAACTCAGAGTGGACCGGGTCACCTAAATTGGTAAGCCGGAAAAGCCTGGCCGCCCAACTCACTGAGGGCACCGAGGTCACTGGAAACGTGGTGTCGGTCGTGGACGCTGAGGAAGTTCTGGATCTGCTGGGCCTTTACCGGGCACTCAATTGCTCCGCGGACTTGGCCATCATAGGAGGGGTTGGTATCAAGCTCCCTGATGACCACCCCCAAGGTGAAAAGGTCCGGGCTACCATCAAACGAACTGGGACGGGGCCCCGACTCGAGCAACTCAGGCTTTGGAAGTTGGGAAACCAATGGACTACCCCCACTATTCGCCCTGCTGTCAGTGTCGATCTCAGGCAATACCAACCTGAGTCCAAGGTGTCCGTGAGAGTCACCGCGCCTACGCACTACAGAGTCGAACACCTTGAGCAAGGAAAATGGGATAATGCCCAATCCGTCCTCACGGAGCTTGCCAACTGGCAAACTGGACAAGCCTCCCTGCTGAGCGGGGGCGAATGGAAATGGGAGACGCGAAAGCAAACCAGTCAACTAGTCGGGCACCTCAGAGTGCCCACCCAGATGGCCGAGGCCCTGATGGCCAAAAGTGGCTACCGAGGCCTGTTTGCCACCGTCACTAAGGTCAACACTCGTACCGAAAAAGTGCGGTGGATTAGCCGGGAAGGTGAGGAAAACCCTGATGACTACCTGAGGAGAGCCTTAGTTTATGCTAAAGGGAGGCAGCAAGGCTTGAAGCTCAGAGCCGGAGGCGGCAATGACCTTGGAGTCATCGAACTTCCGGAAGACCCCACCCAGAGCAGGGCTCTGGTCGTGCTCGTGCAAGGTCTCCCTGGTTCGTGGGAAACAGAAAACGTCGTTACCTTCTTGGAAAACCAAGGCTGGCGACAGCCTCAGACACTGACCAGAAAATATGTTGGGAAGAGACGCCTGCAGTGGGTGGTGCGAGCAGTGCCGCCTAAGGACCAAACTGCAGGCCCATGGTCCTACGTCGACCAAGGTGATGATGACTGGCATGTTGTTATAACCCAACAGGCCGGAAAAGCCAAAGGAAACTACTTGGGTCCGACCCCCCAAACGCTCCTACTACTCCACCAATGGGCAAGCCATGGAGGGGAACGAGGGCAAGGGCAAGGAAACTCGAAAGGAGGTCCCCCCCACGGCTCTTGACAGCGAGGTTGAGGCCACACCTAGGGCCAGAAGCCGAAGCCCACAGCGGTCAGAACGCCGCCCCGAAGACAATGCCGAGGCCGATATGGAGACGTCCCGCGAGGACACAGAAGACGGGGATGTCATCCAGAGAGCTCTTCAAGAGGGCTGGAGCCTGGTGGATGAGCAAGGTACGGGGGATTGCGGGTACCGATGCCTTAGCGCCGCCATTGCCCACAATCAAGGGAAGCCCTTGACTGGCCCCCGGCGCAAAGGAGCCCTGCTTCGCACCCAGGCCGTGTCTTACCTTAGAAAGAACCAGGACAAGTTTACGCCATTTGTCCTGCCCGATCAGGGCACGGCCCCGGAGTCACCCACTCCGCCGCAGGCTCAGGCCTATGAAGCCTTCCTGAACCAAGCGGCAGACCCACATGCATGGATCTGCGGCGTGACACTTTTGGCCACGGCTGAAAAACAGGGACTGCCCATTGTGATTTTCTACAAACATCAGAACATGTGGCGTAGATGCACTCTGGCGCCCGGTTTTAGTAAAGGGGTTGCTAAGGCCGCTAAAGGGGCCAAACCCGTGGTCCTGGTGCTGGAAGGGCAGCACTACCGCTGGCTGAGGCCATCTTCTGAGGCCAAAATACCGGCTGGATGGTTGATGGAGTCTTCTGTGCCAGAACGCAAAGTGTTGCAGGGCGCTGCGCCACACTCAGCCAGGGGCAGTTTGCCCCCTAGCTGTCGGCCGGGTAGCAGTGAGGCCGAGCCGGCCACTCCGTCTGCCCACACCCTTGTTTTGTCACAACAGAACTGGGCGGCACGCACAAAGGCTTCGCCCAAAAAGACTAGTTGGGAAAAACCCCCCAGTGGCGACAGGGCTTCGGGCTCCGATGGTGCCCGCCCAACCGTGCCCCTGGAACTAGGCCGCGCTTCGGGAACCCTGGTTGCCGATCCCCCCTCGCCTTCCCAAGGCGCATCGGGCTCGGACCCCTGGAATGAAGTTGCCAAGGCCCTGGACCTGGCCAAGCAAACTGCTGTTTCGGCCGGAGCCAACCCTGCGCTTGGGGTGTTGCAAAGGTGTCTGCTCACCGCTGACGCTTTGTCTCGGGCCCTCGGAAATAGGATCGATGAAGCCCAGAGCCAGCAGCAACAGGGGAATCAGGGGCTTAAGAGAAAACGCGATGCCGACTCTCTTCCGGATGCCCAAACGGAACCTAGGCGGTGCATTTTCAGACTGAGGCGTAAAACCAAGGTCAATGAAGAGGGCCTGCCGGAGCGGAGGACATGGACTTGCAACCTGTGCGGCTTCACTGTCCGCACGCTGTCTAGGGGCACCCTTTACTCCAGTAGACGCAGGCACATTGCAAAGGTCCACACGCATGAAAAGAGCTCGATCCAAGGTCATAGACCCCATATTACGATCGTGCCTGCCACGCAGATACCGTGGAAAGACCGCAGCTGGACCTGCGGAAAATGCGGGAAAGGCCTTCCGTGGCTTTCCACCACCCAACTCGAAAAAAGCAGGGACAAGCACCTGAGCGACTGCAGACCGGGGGTCTCGGCTGCGGAGAACAAGCAGCAACTCCGCACGTGCAACGGCAAATTCCATGTGGAATACAGGATGAGCATGCGCAACCACCAGGGATGGCAAAATAGTGAGTGGAGGCAGGCTAGAACCCAGCAGGCCGAAAAGCAGGGCCACACCCTGGCTTTCATCGGCAACGATTCGGGGCTCTTGAAGGAAGGTTCTTGGGTCAAGTTTACGTGCCACAAATGTAAATGGCTGGCCGGAGACAGCCACAAATTCACCACCACGAAATGCAACGCCAAACTTAGGCCCAAAGCGACCTCTTGGCGTGAACTCAGGACTAAGTACTCGGCAGTTGTCAAGGCTGTGGTCCAACAGTGGCAGTGGAGTGCCCAGGATGTCCTGGCTATGGACGAAAAGGCTATGGCACACAGAAACAGGAGCCCTTTTGCTATGCGGGCTAAACCCCAAAAGCTCCCCCCCCTGCAAAAAGAAAGGTGGTTCAGGGACCTGTGCCAAGAAGGCGTGGAGCCCAACCCGGGCCCCCGGCGACGTTCTTGTAAACAGGGGACCCTGATCTCTTTGAACTGCGGAGGGCAAAACAACACCTGGCAGTTCATGCAAGACATGCGCCCGAAGGACGTGCAGATTGTTTGCATGCAGGAAATTAACATGAATGAGGAAGGCATTCGCACTCTTGCCACGGCTGCCTTCCGTAAGGGTTGGTGCGCCTACTGGGTCCAAGGATCCCCCAGAATCAGGCGCGGCGAGCCGGATGCCAGAACTGGAGGGGTCCTCACGCTTGTGAGCAAACGGCTGAAGAGCGGTGTGGCCTTTAAAGTGCCTCATGCCGGGGGACAACTTCTTGGGGTCGTTGTGGGAGGCCACCTTTTTATGAATGGGTATGCCCACCACAATGCGTCCCAAACCGACTTCAAAGCTGAGGTTTTCGAAAGATGCCAGGCCCAACTCACGCTGCCCTGGACCCTGGTAGGAGACTGGAATGACACTCCGCATCGCCCGAGGTCTGGTGGCCTCTGGGGCTTGGTTGTCCGAGCCGCCCGAGGGCCAGGGGAGCCGATGGGATAGCAACAGGGCGATTGATTTTGCCTTTAACAACGTGGAAAACAGAGGTCCCCTGTCTCTTAGGCCCGAAAAGTGGAGCGACCATAAGGGTTTCGAAACTAGGTGGCACGGAGGTAGGGGGGAAGCTCAACCGCAGTTTGAAATCCGACCTTGCCTGGTTTACCTCCCCAAAGACCCTGAACTTCTGGGTGAATGGAAAGAGCTCGTCAAAAGAGAATGGGCGACGCAAAGACCTCAGTGGGTGAATAGGTGGGCAGACATACAGGCTGAAGCAAACTCCGCTGAGCCAGGTGAAGCGCAGGCCGATATTGTTTGGGCCCGCCTGAACGAACATCTCGAAGCTTTCATGCAACACACCGCCGAAACTGCTGAGCAGGCGGGCATCCCTATGAGAAGCCGTGGGAAACCCAAACGGGCCAAAGGCACCAAGGTCGAAACACGGCAGGCGAACCCAATCCTCAGACAGGCGTACGATGAAGGTACCGACAATCGTCTGAGGGCTGCGAGAAGGCTGTGGGGAAGACTCTTGGAAGTCCAAAGGCTGCAATGCCTGGGACAGCAAGTGCCGGCCAACCTGTGGGCCAAAATCCACCGATGTGCGGAATACCGCCCGGGGATGCAACCGGATGAGGTCAAAATCCAAGTTTCGGAAATGCAAAACGATCAGTTTCGGCTCAGGCTGCGCAACTGGCGTAGCAGACTTCGCGCTTCTGACACTGAAATTTTTCGGTGGCTCCGCACCCAGCAGGAACCCCCCACTAGATGCATTTTTAATGATGCTGAGGGTCCGGATCAGCCCGCTAGTCAAGATTTGGCTGAGGCTCTGGAAAATCTGGAAGGCTATTGGCAACAGATATGGTCTAGGCCCAGACAGGCTGAAGAAAGATCTGCCCAGGAGTACCTGCAAGAATTTGCTGACCCGAGACAATTACCGGAAGTTTGGGGCCCGGTTCCCTTTGAATGCATATGGCAATCCATTCGAAAGCAACGCGCCAAAGCGGCAGGATGTGATGGATGGTCAGGCGATGAAATCACCGCCTGGCCCCGCGAAATGTGGCAGGATCTCACCGAGGCACTGCACCTCTGGGAACGTTTCGGCAGTTTCCCCAGTGCCAGGAGCCAAGTAAGACAGGTCCACCTCCCCAAAATGGGGGGAACCAGGCCCAACGGCCTCCAAGCTTCGCCCCATCAGCATACTGTCTGTCTTCTGGCGGGTCCTGGTAGGCGCCAGGCTCGCTAGCCCTGAGGCGCAGGCTTGGGCAGACACGTCGCTTGATGACGCACAAGCAGGCTGCAGGAAAGGGCATGACGCCTTAAAGGCCTTGATCCCGCTCACTGAGGCCTTTGCAAGCGAAGCTTTCGTTGCTAGTCTTGACCTCGCCAAAGCTTTCGACCACATTCGTCCGGAAACGGCCATCGACACCATGTCATGGCACGGTTTCCCTGTGAATTGGGCCGGGGGCGTTCTTAGGTTGTGGCAGGGGCAGGAACGGATTCTTGGATGGCAAGGCGCGGTTAGCGCTAACCCGGTCCGTGTCCGTACGTCAGCACCGCAGGGAGATGCGCTCTCCCCGTGGTGCATGAACTTCCTGCTGCTCACACCCACTAAGGTCATCGGGAGGTCCCACCCTCGGACCACTCAGGTAACCTACGTGGACGACAGGTCCTGGGCGAGCCAGGGCTTTCGCGAGTTTCGGGCGGTGTGGAACTGTTGGAAACGACACACGCCCATGCTTGGCCTTGTTGACAACGTTAGCAAGTCTCAGTTTTCTCACAAAACTGCCCAAGGGCGGGATAGACTGCGCCAACAAAGGGACATGAGGGCGTACACCTCGGACAACTTGCTTGTGCTCGGCAGTTATTTGGGAAGAGGTGGTGCCCAGCCCAAGGAAAAGGCGAGAATTGAGCAGGCCACCAGGGCTGCCAATAAGCTGATTTGCGCCCCAGTAGGGGGAGCCCGCAGGCACTTCGTCAGCACGATGGCTGTCACCACTAAGGCAGGGTACGGATGGCTTGCTCGGGCCCCGGCCGACAAGGAGATCCGGCACCTTGACAGCCGTCTGCGGGCGGCCGGGTATGGCCAACACATGGCGGCCCCTCCCCTTGTCAAGCTTGTTTTAGGCCATGGCCTGGACATCCGTTTCGTTGCGGGCTGCCAAGCCTTCTCTGCGGCCCATCGGACGGTGGGTGGCAGGAGACGGGCACTTGAGGACTGGCACATGCCGGGCGGTGTGGGCCAAAGGCTTCGCAGGTTTGTCGGGGGCCTTGGTTGGCGGGAAGTGTCGCCTTGGGTCTGGTCACACCCGGCAGTGGGCCGTAGGCTTTGTCTCGACCCCGCCAAGGCTGGCTGGGAGCCCGATTTGCAGTGCCAGGCCCACCACTTGCGTGAGTCTTGGAGGAGAGCCCTTTGGGCTTCGTTTCTCGACAGCAAACGCCATGAGGCGCCAGAGCTCCGGCACATTGTTTACCACCCTGGCCGGGCTAAGTCAGTGCGCGAGCTGGCTAAGTCAGCCAGCGTGCACGAAGTTGCTGTTTTGACGGGGGCGGCAGTGTCGCCGGCTTCCTACGGCAAAATGCCGGGGGTTCCGGGGCGGGCCGCTTTTTGTCCTTATTGCAAAACAAAGGAGGGGGCCGGTTGGCATCACTGTGCTTGGGAGTGTGGGGCCAACCCCCACAGGGAAAACATTCAACCTTATGATGCCCTGCATGCTAGGTTTGGATGGCCGGGACAAACGCAAACGATTTCGGAGGCCCGTAAGTGCCTCGCTTTCCTCGCTAAGGTGCGGTGTGACTTGTTGTCAGGTCACCACGCACCCGCTTCGACTTTCTAGGCCGCACCGCGGCCGCTGCCGGCGTCGACCCCCCCTTTGGCATGCGCTGGAGGGCGTGGGCGGCCGTCGAAATCTACTACACACACAAATGGGGTCCATTGCTGTGGACAAACTCCTGCAGGAATGCATGAAGCCCGGACAAATCCACCCATCAACCCGTGCGAGGTGGATTCGACAGTATCACAAGAAAGTAGCACCAAGGCTTGCCAACATGGAGTCCGAATCCCGAGAAAGGGGTCGTTTCCCACGTTTTCTTTTGGTCTTCCTTCGAACCGACCCCCAACAGGTAGCCTTTTGCCTCCAAACAAGCCACGCCCACCATTTTTATGATTCAAATGAAGAAGCCACTCAAACCCCAAGTGTATCCCAAACAAACCCGCAGAGTTGGTCACCGGATTTCTTTTCGGCCAGCCCTTGGTTCCCTACTGTTGAAGTAGATGACCGGGATCGCTGCCCCTTCGCACGCAGGCTCCGGTGAAAATTCTTGGGTCCCCGGCCATGGTCCAGCGAAGCAGCGAGGCGTTCGATCCAAAAGCTGCGCGTCTCAAAACTGTGGGGCCCACTTCCGAACGAGTGCGTTGGCCAAGCTCAGGTGATATCTCCAACATGCGGTGCTCTTTTTAGTGCCCGCACCACCCAGCCCTCGCAGAACCTCATGGAACCCTGGTGGAACCCGGGTAGAACCCTGGTGGAACCCTGGTGGAACCTTACCTCAGGGCCGCCCCGAACCACCCCAGAGCCTATCTGGGCTGAGACCCCAAAGCTTTCAGCTGTTGGGGAAGAAAGAAACAACAACAAAAAAAACAAAGCAGGAAGCACCACCACCCCCCCACAACTGTTTGGGACTTGGGACACACCCAAGATGGGGAGTTGGACCCAAAATTATTCGCTTTGTCGCCTCGAAGCCAAGGGCCTTGCGGGAGATGACCCATCCCAAGATGGTTGGGACGAATGCAACCACCGCCCATGGCGGGTGCTTGAAGGAAAAATCCGAGCCTTCGAGATCTTCGGTGGCTTGGGCTTCTTTTTGGAGACTTGAACGTGACCTTTGGCTTCATTGGAGGTGTTCCGGAGGTTTCACCTCCACCCTCACGCACCAGGGGTTCAAACCCATCAACGGGGAAGCTGCCCATGTGGCCTTGCATTAGCACAGCTAAATACTAAAAACAGAACGCGTTGGGACATTGGTGCACGGGTCCCTCACACAAACCTCATGTGTTTTGGGTGGCACTTCAACCGTCCCTTGTGTTTCCTTGGACCTCTTTCCGGCTGAGCCGGGGCATTTTGAATACCTAAAGCGCCTCAAGAAGGGGCCGGTGTAGGGAAGCAGCTAAAGGAGACTCCTCAACAACTGGATGGTGTTTTGGGCTCCATGCGAGTCTGAATGGGTGGTGGCAAAGGGTCCCCTCACCAAAAAAAACAAACAAACACCATATTGGGTATGTCCTGAGTCGCGTAGGGAATTGCTTTCTTGAGTAGCCAAGCAGGTTTCAATGCATCTTCAGCGAGTCCCTGAGGAAACAACAAAATAAAGCATAGGGCAAGCACACAATCCTGCATCCAACTAGAGCAAAAGTGACCTTCGGAAGGGTTCTGAGAACCTCCCCGGTGCGAACGTCTCTCTCCATACCAAAACCGACTGAAGGGATTGCATCTGCAGAACCTATAAGTCACAAAAACAACAATGCTCTTCCAATTGGTTCGTGCAAAGACTCTTCATGATAGGTTCACAGCTTGTTTCAGCTCTAGTTCGGGCAAGAAAACACCGGTGGTTGCTCAATCTTGATTTAGCCATAATCCCTTTCCGAGCTTGCCACAACCTTGAAAAATGCCGACAACATCCTGAATTGCGCTTGTTGAAAGTGAAACTTATACACCAAAGGTCTTTCCTTAGGTAAATGCCAAGCACCCTAAACATGTCATCCCCGCCAAAGGAAACTCGCCTAACATTGGCAAATCAGATTGGTGTTGGAAGCCACCGTGAAGGGACACGCTGGTAACCCGTTTGGATTTGGGTGTGGGTCAAACATAGGTGCCCCAAGGGCACCCTGGTGAATGGAAACAAGGACTACAATCTGCGGATAATTTTCGTCCATACCCAAGGTCAACCGAAGGCATGATGGCCCTGGTAGTTGATTGAACCACCAGGCAAACCAGGAATCGCCCTCTATTTTTCAACCAAGTCAACCAAAAAGGACACCTACGCTGGTGACCCGCTTGGATTTCCTTCCCGGCGGTCTGAATCGCCGTGGGGCCCCGACTCCCAGCGCTGAGCGGTTTGTTTTTTTCAGCGCTGGTGGGGCGCGCGGGCGAGGGCCTCGCGCACGTCCATGTCCACCTGAAGCTGTCAAGGACGCGCAAAGGACAGGCGGGTAGCCAGATGGAACCTGACAGGGACCCGGTCTTTGTAAAAGGAAAATAGTCCAAACCAGGACCCCCTCGAAAAAAAAAATGGAAAAAACATAATCCAGGTTCATTGGTGGGAGGGCCCCTCCTTTCCAACGATCGTGGAAGTGGAAATCAGGATGTACCCCAAAAGGAAAATCGTCTTGAGCTCTTCTCTGAGCTTCCATGTTCGCTGGAGGGAGGGTGTGTTGAGTCAAAATTAAAACTTAGATCCCAACGGCTTTGCTGTCCAGGGCTTTGGAGCTTCAGGACGATCCACCAGAATTCCTCAATACTTCTCTCAGCCAGTCCCCAAGAATTCGCAACCGACAACCCAGTGCATCCATTTACCTGTATAGTGGGTAGCCGTGGGTAACCAAGGGAACCACCCTTTAAAGAAAACATATTCGAGCTCAGCCTAAAACCTGGCGCCAGGAGGCGTGCTCATCGAAGGGGCTCTGCATGGGCACCAGCTTAGGATCCGCACGGGACGCCAGCAGGAGCTGCACCACCTGCATCATTCGCCGGAGCTCGGGGGAACCGGACCGACCCTTGGGTGGGCGAAACTCGACGAAGATGAATATGTAAGTCTAGAGTGCTTACCCTTGGGTGGACGAAATTCGGTGGGGATGAAAAGATGTAAGTCTATATATATATATATATATGTACCAGTCCCTGGGCCACGTACCCCCACCCCCCCCCAATGGTATGGTCCCCCCACTCCCCCACATCATCCGCATCTTGGGGATGATGCTGGCAATGCTGGGGATGCTGTCCAGTACTGTGCGAGCCCTGCAGCTTCGGTCCCAGACATCCTACCCTAAACCAAACCACCCTGCAACCCCTCCTTAACCCCAACCCTAAATCAACCCAAACCCCAAACCCACCCGAAACCCACCGCAAACCAACCCTGAACCAACCCTGAACCAACCCTCAACCAACCCACCAAGCCTAAACCAACTCCGAACCACACCCCAACCACCCAACCACCCCACCACCCCACCCCACCACCCCACCACCCCACCACCCCACCCCACCACCCCACCACCCCACCACCCCACCACCCCACCACCCCACCACCCCACCACCCACCCCACCCCCAGGGGGGGTTGGCCACCCACACCCCACCACCCCACCACCCCACCACCCCACCACCCACCCCACCCCCACAGGGGGGGGGGGGGGGGGGGGGGAAAAATAGTAAAAGGAGAATTCTAGGAATTCTACGTTTACTATTTTTCTCCATCAGCAACACAACAAACAGAAACAAAATCCAGAACAACAAGCAAACAAAATAAATAATCACAACCAGCAACAAAAATATTTAATCACAGCATACAACATTAAATAATTCAAACAAGCATACCAACAAAACAGCAAAAATAAAAACCATCAAAGAACACAAACTCAAACACACACATCAACAAAAAACAAAGCAACATACCAACAAAAAATATCAGAAGAGTATCAAACAAAATAAAAACAAACAGCCAAAGCACGAAAAAATCAAAAGAGCATACCAAGTCTAAACAACGCACTTTGAAAGAGATAACCAAATTAGGAAAAATAAAATAATTCAATCTTTACAAACCATAAGTACAGTATAATCATAACATATAAGATTTTACATGTTATTGTTATATTATGATTATAATTTCAGTACAGGATAATAATTTAATTGATTTGTCTTACTTCTTTCATACATCATTTTAAAAATAATATTAATATCTCTCAATGTGTTTTGAATATTAAACTTTTTACTTCCAATAAATAATTTGATATTTTCTTTAACATCTTCCCCTTTCTCTTGACTATATCCCAACATCCATAATATATCATAAATCATGTCATATTGTTTCTTACTGATTTTAAGAAACTGTTGAACATAATCATAAGGTGGTATTTTATTTACAGTTAGAAACATTAAAATCTCATCTTCTACATTTCTATTATTTATTCTTTTTATTCCCAACAGACATTTGATTAATTCTTGATAATGTCTCCAATTTTTACAATTTTTACATATGTCTTCTTCACCATCCATTGAATAATTAATAATATTATTCACTATTTCATTAGGTAAACTCAATTTATACAGTTCCATATTTTCTTTTTTGAAGTGACAACAATCATAGCATTTTTATTGATATAATTATTGATTTTATCACCGTTCATTTTCCTCTTATTATATTAAGGCACTATTTCTTTAAGTCATTTTTAAGGCATTAAGAAAAATTAAGAAACTAACCATAAGTTTAGTATAATTATAACATATAATATTTTACATGTTATTATTATATTATGATTATAATTTCAATTCAGGATAATAATTTAATTGATTTGTCTTACTTCTTTCATACATCATTTTAAAAATAATATTAATATCTCTCACTGAGTTTTTAACATTAATCTTTTTACTTTCAATAAATAATTTGATATTTTCTTTAACATCTTCTCCTTCCTTTTGACGATAAACCAACATCCATAATATGCGGTCTATCATTTCATACTTTTTCTCACTGATTTTCAGAAATGCTCTAACATAACTATAAGGTGGTATTTTATACACAGTTAGAAATATTAAGATGTAATCTTCTACATTTCTTTCATTAAACATTTTAATATCTAAATGATTTTCAATTATTTGTTGATGAAACCTCCAATTTCTACAAATTTTACATAAATCTTCTTTACCCAAAGCATAAAAAATAATATTATTTATTATTCCATTAGGAAAATTTAGTTTATACAATTCCATATTTTCTTTTTTGAAGTGACAACAATCATAGCATTTTTATTGGTATAATTATTGATTTTATCACCGTTCATTTTCCTCTTATTATATTAAGGCACTATTTATTTAAGTCATTTTTAAGGCATTAAGTAAAATTAAGAAACAAACCATAAGTATATTATAATTATAACATATAATATTTTACATGTTATTATTATAGTATGGTTTTAATCAAAGTCATTAGTATTTAAATATTCCTTTGTAATCTTTTGTATTTGTTTAAAGTTCTGTTTATTATTTTTAAATGGATATTTTCTATCAGCAAAATCATAAATGCAAAAATATATGCCCCAGTTTCCTAAAACACTTTTAATATCATTTATCACATCACCATACATTAATTTACCTATTATATTGTTCTTCTGTTCATCCTGAATATAATCACATATTTTATCAATTATGATTTTCAATTCTTGGTTTCTTTGTTTTATGTAGTTTAAAAATGTTTCCTTGCAATCATTTTCAATTTTATTATTTGATAAATCATACTCATCAATAAATTTAAATATCATTTTATTATTGAATTCTTCAATTGGTCTTGTTGTTCCAGTTTTGCCACCATAACTAACTTCATATGATTTTTCGTAGTAATATTTAATATCATTATGAAATTTTAAAATGTATGTTTCGTTATCTTGCAGTATATATTTTTTCACTTTTTCATATGTAGGAAATGTATTTAACTTTATAAAACAATATGTTCTTAATGATGAGTCATTATTGAGAAATGTATTTTCTTCAAATTCCAATTTGTATCTATCATAAATACATTGTCTCAATGTTGAATGTAAATTACTTTTATGTAAAACTTGCTTTGCATTTCTTAATAAAAAAACATTTCTCGCATTCAACATAATTAAAATCACAAATGTTTTTAACAATTGGAATAGGTAAATTTAACTTAGTTAGTCCAGTTTTCTCATTTATTAGTTTACATTTACAACTACTGATAATGTCATTAACTTGTATTTTATTCAAAAAGTCATTAATAACTTCTTCTTGCTCTTTTTTAGAAAATTCAACCATTTCTATTATAATATATTAAGTCAATATTTCTTTAAGTCGTTTTCAAAGAATTTATTTTATAATGGCCGTAAGCAAGTGAGTTTATATTATTTATCCAATATTTTTGTTTTCATAACTACTAAGAGCATTTTTTTAGTTGTTATACTAAAAATTATGTGGTTTTTACTTCTAATACTATTAAATGACTTATGTATAACCTCATTAGTTTTTAAAACCGTCTCAAACTCTTCATATTTCATTTGACGTCTTACTGTGCCTTTTGCTATGCCCTTACATTTCTTATATTCTTTTTCATCACCATAAACTGAGTAAGCGTAGCATTTAGGACGAAGGGCTATAAACCCTGTTATTATTTTACTTTTTAATTCATCCTTAAATTTACCTAATACTTTCTTGTTATTCTCATCATAACATTTATGTTCCTTAGGATAATCTGAAAAATCTATTTCTTTTTTAATTGTATTCAGGTCTTCATAAATGTCATTGGTTTTAGTATGAAATACAAAACTATCAGTATCAGTATATACCATTTTAATATTATCTCCATATTTAGGTTTCATAAAGTCATAATAAAATTTATACATGTGTTGCTTACTCAAATCTAAAATACTCATCCCAATAAATATAGGTTTGTCTAGTTTCAACTTTGTTTTTTGCTTTTCAACTCCAACCAAATTTTCATTAATGATATGACTATGTTTGAAGTTAGGATTACTTACACACTTCATATATCTAGTTTCATCACTCACAACTTCAAAGTCTAAATGTTTTCGCTTATCCTCCATTGTTTTTCCAAATATGGCATTGTTCATCAATTTATAAACATCTTTCTCAAAATCATTTCTAGCATTCTTCCTCTTCTCTGTGTTAAACTCAATGTACGGTTTTAAAACTTCTTTTTGTTCAAATTTAATTGCTCTATGAATTTTCTTAAGTTTTAACCCCTGCTTCAAATAAAATTGTAAGGTTCTTATATGGATTACATATTTTCTTTATCATTTAAATTCAATACTAATTTATTTGTTTTCTCATCCGTAGGTTTTTTATGATTTAAAAATTCATAAATTTCAATTTGTTTATCTGACAGCATGTCGGCTTTAACATTCATAACCTCAGGTGCCATTGGATAGTCATTGTGTAAATCGTGTAATTCTTTAGGATATTCTAAATCCACTTCTAGAATATATCCAATATTATTATTCTTATAATTAATTATGTCTTCTTCTTTTAATGTATCATCCCATTTTAGATTTTTATATGGCAGTTTTTGTATCATGCTTAACCCATACAAATTATTAGCGTCTAAATAGTTAATATAACTACTTTCTTTCTTTTTATCATAATCTTCTCCCATGTATTTATTATTTGCTTCAACTTTTTTAGTAGAAACCATACACATCCCTCCTCTAAGTCCCGCTTCTATCATTTCATACATTTCTCGGTCATATATTAAATCAATCTCTACACCAGTCATTTGAAGCATAGCATCAAAAGCAAAGTTAGGCAATGTATAATAATAAGCAGGGTCCAATCCATGATGTTTCAGACACACATCTCTAAAATTTTCGAAAATATCAGTCAATAATAATACATCAGTTTTCAAATATAAAAGACGAAATACGAATCAAGACAAATGAAGTGAAGAGTGTAACCAAAAGTGCAATGGCGGCACAGAAAGCTTCACTCGCGCGA